ATCAGGAAAAAAAAGTTTCTTCTCATTATATATGTAACCAGCCTTGTACATGAGATAACTTTTCAGCACATGTGAACCTACAAAATACAAGACAACCAAAAGACTCTTTATAACAATATTCAAAAGTTGACCAAAATCTCGTACACACTACATATCATTAATTTACCTTGCATTTCATTCACGCCAATTAAATATTGTCTGAATCCACCATACTGTTTAATTCGGTATGTGTCCACTTGATTGATATCGGTTTAATATTCTTAACCATAATATTATCATTTACCTCTACAACAATTGACCCTTTTCTTTCTCTTGAAGAAAAAAACTTACGTGCATGAGATTATGCTATTGTATTTATTTTGATTCCAATATGTATAAAATCAAAAAAATCTTGCCTTAAGGATCATAAGCTATGACACAACATTGTTTTCTTCCTAGGATGTAGATAAAAAAATTATCATCTCTTACATGCGTGTGAGTCTCTTTTTAAAAGATTGATTGAAGTTTTTTCGATTATATATACAAAAGACTGCCACCCATGAGCAGGAAAAAAAAGTTTCTTCTCATTATATATGTAACCAGCCTTGTACATGAGATAACTTTTCAGCACATGTGAACCTACAAAATACAAGACAACCAAAAGACTCTTTATAACAATATTCAAAAGTTGACCAAAATCTCGTACACACTACATATCATTAATTTACCTTGCATTTCATTCACGCCAATTAAATATTGTCCGAATCCACCATACTGTTTAATTCGGTATGTGTCCACTTGATTGATATCGGTTTAATATTCTTAACCATAATATTATCATTTACCTCTACAACAATTGACCCTTTTCTTTCTCTTGAAGAAAAAAACTTACGTGCATGAGATTATGCTATTGTATTTATTTTGATTCCAATATGTATAAAATCAACAAAATCTTGCCTTAAGGATCATAAGCTATGACACAACATTGTTTTCTTCCTAGGATGTAGATAAAAAATTATCATCTCTTACATGCGTGTGAGTCTCTTTTTAAAAGATTGATTGAAGTTTTTTCGATTATATATACAAAAGACTGCCACCCATGATCAGGAAAAAAAAGTTTCTTCTCATTATATATGTAACCAGCCTTGTACATGAGATAACTTTTCAGCACATGTGAACCTACAAAATACAAGACAACCAAAAGACTCTTTATAACAATATTCAAAAGTTGACCAAAATCTCGTACACACTACTTATCGTTTCAAAGATTTTGTACTCATCTCCAAAGCATCATTACTAAGACCATGGACGCTTGAACCCGAGATCATCGAGTGACATGTACTTAGATATTTCTTCAAAGTAGCTCTAAACACTTAAAGAACCTTATCAATTCTCCCTCACTTTGAATACATATCCACAAGAGCTGTTGCTAAACACCCAAAAATCTCAATCCCATTCTTGTCAATATAAACATGTACCCATTCACCTTGACTCAATAATCCAAGATTGTCATACGCAGATAAGACACCAACGAAAGTAAAACCATATGTTTTCTCGGCAGAATTGTTAAGCATCTCATTCACACCTGTAGCAACCAGCATGTGCATAAGCACTCACCATCACGTTCCAAGAAACCACATCCTTCACAGAATTTCATCTCGGGGAACTGAAGCGCGAGAGCTCGAGGTAAGACTTGAGCAGTCTCATGACCACGAACTCTAGAGACTCTAACCACCTACTTCAGATTCAGCTCCTCCATCCACAACGCATACATGTCTTCGGTAAATCAGACGCTCCTCCACTTCTTCTCGCAAACTATACCCTGATTTGCTCTTCCCTCACTTGTTACAGAGCTACCGCCTCTCCCCACCGTCAGCTGGTGGTTCTGCTCGATGACGCATGCGAAGATAGGGAGCTGCATTGATTTGATCGTCGTGTTGATCAGCAGAATTAAGCTGCAAGAGTCCTCCTTGCAGCTTCATCATCGTCTCAAAATTATAAGAAGAAGCGAAAACACAACTCTTTCTAGCTTCATCAGCTTGTTGTGTTGAAACTGAAGATTTGCAAGAATGATGAAGTTAGTGGATTTTGTTATCTAAAAAGCCCAGGTCCTATGAATACGGGTGACATTAGAAACAGGTTTCAGTTATTTGTTTCGTCGAAGATTAACACAAAAGATAATAGGTAAGCTTCCTCTCACAAACCTTACACAAACACATATGCTTACTTGGCAACAACATACACTCATCTCTAACTCCACAAAATGTACAAAACTTATGTTAACGTCATCGTTTTACTGTTTCTCCCATCGTTTTACGTCATCTTAACGTCATCGTGAACCAAGAAGCCGTGTCATCCATATATGAGCTCGCTCCAGATTGTAGTTGAGAGCAGCGATCATGTTCACGATGTACTTTGGACGTTTTCGTCATGCTTCAGCTTTCATTGTTATCTGTTCAATACAAACCTCCAGTTCATTACTCGAGATTTTTCATCTCGACTTCCTCGTCTTTGTCTCGCGGAGTCTCTGAACGACTCTTTCCTCCATGAGGGATATATTCTTCGATTTACTCATCTGGATCTTTTCGAGGATCACATGGCGTAGTTGGTCTCTTTGTTACAGATGAATCATAGCAAGAGGATTGTGAGAAACCATTAAAAAATCTTTATATGTCAAGACACGTAATATGGAAAGTTAGAAAATATGTTTTATGAATTTGGCAATATTTTTTGTGAGAAACATTCTGAAAGCGACACGTCAGCATTGTGTCAAATTCAATGTGAACGCATTTAATGCAAAATGCTTCTCTTTTAATATATAAGGGATTTAAATTCTATGATATGTATAACAGAGAATTGAACAGCTTGTACTGAGAGTTGAGTGCATTTTTTTTCTTTTCTTGTACCAAATGTTTAGTTAACAATTTGAGATTAGTATAAGAAGTTTGACATTTTAAGAGAAGATTTGTTGTGTTCTAAACAAATATTTAGGTGACGAATAAGTTCACCACGCTTGTCATGCTATTAAGATTTTAACTTCTTTTTTTTTTGGGTGAAGATGTTAAGATTTTAACTGTTAAGATTTTGTATGGCCTGCAACGACAAACCTAACAGCTAGTTAATAACTAAACTAGTTTATAGTAACTGTTTCAATAAATATATATAAAACGATGGCATTTACTATTGTTCAGACTCAAAAAAAAAAGCTGAACCTATTACGAGAGTGTAATACTAGTATAAATAGAAAAATGGTGGCATTTACTGTTCTCAGCGGCAAGAGGTACATCCGCACATGACGTCCGGCTCATAGCATGGGGAAGTGATGTGACCATGTGAACCGCTAGTAAATACACTCTACTATATTTACAACTAACTAATATTATTATTTGAAAATACAACTAATAATATTAAACTGTTAACATATCAAAACTCAAAAGATGTAAAAAAAAAAACTCAAAAGATGTAGTCTAATATTTTGTATTAACATCGTTGATGCTTAACATTTGAATTCACATGAGAGATAAAATTATCTTATAGGGGTCACGGTTTCGTGGACCTAGATATGGATGGTTTCTTGTTAAATTAAATCAAACATCGTTCTCTTGATCAATATAGAATTCAAATATATATTTTCAAAAGGAAAGGAAGATAGGATTCACATATGAATTGTAAGTTCGCCAATGTACATTAATCTGTATGTACGTACTGATATATTCATTCACATACACCGTGCCCATACAGGGATGCGCGTGCCACATGGCTTGTGCACATCTTCGACTAGGTCTTTAACAATGGCTGGAGAAAAATGGGCAAGGAACGTACGTTGGATAGATCACAAACGAAGGCTATGGCCCATGTATGGGGCCATTGATATTTATGATTGATTAGGCCCATTAAGTAGTCCACCGTGGCATGTAACGCAATATTCCCTGATATTATATAGTCCACCGGGGTGGAAGAAAATTATTTGATGTAAATATACTTACTTTATACTTTAAAACATAGATAACTGATAAGTATTAATTTGAAATGATGAAATGAGTTGTAGTATGAAATGATAGGAATCTTTTCCTGTTCGCACTGAAACGAGAAGCTATAGCCGTTGAGCGAGCGAAACCAAAGTGGATGCTAGGTGGCCCATACTATGGGCCGTTAGTTTATATGATTCCAAAAGCCCATTAAGAACTTCTTTTTTTTTGGGCAACGAACTGGATGGTCTGATTTTAGCAAAAGGAATAAGTCTGTGGCAATTAATAATATTTACGAAAATTACGAGGCCTTAATTCTCTCGCCCACAACGAAACCCTAGCTCCCTTCTCCAATTCGGAAGCAGAGAAATCAATCTCCGGCGAAGATGGCAGGTGGTTTGGATATGTCACTCGATGATCTTATCAAATCTAATCGAAAACCTACGGGATCTCGCGGCCGCGGCAACGGTGGTTCTAGTAGCGGTGGTCGCGGATTCGGCGGTGGCTCAGGTCCGTCTCGAAGATTTACCAACCGAGTAGGGAACAGAACGGCGCCGTATTCAAGGGTCAGCGATTGATTTTATCTCCTTAACATTCCAGATCAGAGAATTGCTTGTAGGGATTATTAAAAGTTGAGATCTGATTTCGTTTCCTCTTTATCGAACAAACAGCCTGCACAGCAACAACAACTAGCTCTAGACCCGATGTGGCAAAACGACGTTTTCGCTACTGACGCGAGTGTAGCAGCAGCTTTTGGGAATCAGTCTGGAGGCTTTGGCGTCGCTGCCGGCGGCGGAGGCTCTTCAATCGAGACGGGGACGAAGCTTTACATCTCCAACTTAGATTATGGTGTCACCAACGAGGATATCAAGGTTATGATAGTTTCAGCCTTCTTTTAAAAGGAAAGATGATGGCTTTGAAGTTTAATGTTAAGTAATTTTTTGTTTTGTAGGAGCTCTTCTCGGAGGTTGGTGATCTTAAGCGTTATGGGCTTCACTATGATAAGAGTGGAAGATCCAAGGTATTAGCTTTTCTTTCTTCTGCTACTGAGTTTTTTTTTTCCCTATCAAATCGTTTTGTCCTGATCAAACTATGTTTTCAGGGTACTGCTGAAGTTGTTTTTTCACGGCGTGGTGATGCCTTGGCTGCTGTTAAGCGTTACAACAATGTTCAATTGGATGGGAAGCTTATGAAGATTGAGATCGTTGGAACTAATGTTTCAGCTCCTACACCTCCACTTTTTGCTCCAGCTCAGGTTCCTTTTCCTGGGAATGGGATACTTGGCAACTTTAATGAGAATTACAATGGAGGCTTCAACGGGAACTTCAATGGAAACTTCAGGTTTGTGCTCTTCTCTGACATGATTTCTTAAATGGTCTATTTGATATGGTTGATGTGTTGTTATTCAGTTAAATTGTACTTCCCTTTTGGTCTTATTAAAATATTTTGTTATACAACAGAGGAAGAGGTGGTTTTATGGGGCGGCCTCGCGGTGGTTTTGGCGGTGGTAATTTCCGAGGAGGAAGGGGAGGTAGAGGAGGAGGAGGTGGTGGTCGTGGAAGAGGAAGAGGACGTGATGAAAAGGTATCTGCAGAGGATCTTGATGCTGAATTGGACAAGTATCACAAGGCGGCAGCAATGGAAGAAACAAGTTAAAAGAGAAGCGACTATAAGTCCATTGCCTTGTAATCCTTTAGTTTGCATGATAATGCTTTTGTACGAGTATGAGATTTAGATTAATATCAATGGTCTGACAGTATATGCTTTGTGAGCGTTTTGGCTTTTGCAGTTGTTTTCAGAGAAACCAGTATTGTGTGTGTCGAGAGGAATTCAAATCCTTATCAAGTGTTATACCTCCGGTTTCAATGTTTATTTTGCTTTTTTTGTATCTTTTAAAGGAAGGACCATATTGTAATTTCACTGGCATATCCTTCTTTGACCTAAGATATGTAAATTTACCGACTAAAATAAGGTTTTTATACCGATTTATCGAGCGACGACGAGGATCTAAATCTAAGCCTCGTCTTAGTTTTACTCCGATCTGAGATAATGGCATCGTACCGGCCGCCTCCTCCTCCGTCTCCTCTCCCACCGCCACCTCAAAATCCTCCTCCACCTCCTCCCCTTCCTCCGTCGTTACCCCCTCCCGTTCCTCCTCCTCCACCGCCTTCGCATCAACCCTACGCTTCTTATCCTCCGCAAGCTTACTATCAGCAGCCGCCGTCTCACTATCCTCCTCAATTCAACCAGCTTCAAGCTCCTCCGCCTCCTCCTCCCCCTCCCTCAGCACCTCCTCCCATCGTCCCCGATCCTCCACGTAATCAACCGACCAATGACCGCCACAAAAGTGCCTCCAAGCCGCGGGAGCGTCCTCCATCGAAGCAGCAGCAGCACAGCAGGCCTCCACATCATCATCAGCCACACAGTAAGAATCCGGAAGATGAGAGGAGGTTAAGGAAGAAGAAGGAGGCTGAGAAAGAAAGACAGCAGATGAAAACGTCTCACAAGTCTCAGGGAATTCCCAAGGCGCATACGGAGGAGAGGAAGCCTACTCCTCTTCTCACTACAGATAGGGTTGAGAATCGGTTAAAGAAACCAACTACCTTCATCTGCAAGCTCAAGTCAGTTCTCTTCTCTATATTACTCTTTTCACAGCTACTTATTTTGGCTGATTATTAATCTTCTTATTTCCAGGTTCCGGAATGAACTTCCTGACCCTACTGCACAGCTTAAGCTTATGACCATCAAGCGAGATAAAGATCAGTATGTAACTCTTTTATTCACATTTGTGTTTCTCTTCTTATATCACTGATTCTGTTCTTTTGATCCCATTAGATATACAAAATATACAATCACTTCCCTGGAGAAACTATGGAAACCAAAAATCTTTGCTGAGCCTGATCTTGGAATACCTTTGGATCTTCTTGACCTTAGTGTTTACAAGTATGATCTCTCTCTCTCTCCCTCAACAACCTAGATTGCCTCTTGTATTTTCGGATTCTTATTGTAGTGGCTCTTCTCAGGCCACCCAAAGTGAGGCCACCTCTTGCCCCTGAAGATGAAGAGCTGTTGCGTGATGATGATGCTGTTACCCCTATCAAGAAAGATGGCATCAAGAGGAAAGAAAGACCTACTGATAAAGGTGTTTCCTGGCTCGTCAAAACACAATACATTTCTTCTATTAATAATGAATCCACAAGACAGGTAATCATTCATTCTCTTTTGGTTCTAGGAATATTCTTTTTTGAAATGTATAGCGACAGTATCAAACCTTCTTCTATCTTTAACCATGTGTAGTCTCTAACTGAGAAAAGAGCAAAAGAACTGCGAGAGATGAAAGGAGGCATCGACATCTTGCAAAATCTCAATAACAGGTGTGGTGTTTGTGTTTCTCTTAAGTAATTGACAAATATATATTGGTGTAATGGGTTTCTGTTTCTTGGTTTTTAGAGAGAGACAGATCAAGGATATTGAAGCATCCTTCGAGGCCTGCAAGTCTCGACCAGTTCATGCCACCAATAAAAACTTGAAGCCAGTTGAAGTTTTACCCTTATTGCCAAATTTTGATAGGTTTGATCCTCCTTATTTCCCTGTTGAGGTTTAATTATAAACTACTTAAGAGGGTTGTTGGTCCCAATGTTTCTTTGGTAGAGTTTTAGTGGATGGAAAACCAGTAATAGTTTTCACTGTCGACTCGTAGCAGATGCTAATCTATTTCAATCCTCTGTTTAATTTCTGAGACAGGTACGAGGAGCAGTTTGTTATAGGGAATTTTGATAGTGCTCCTACAGCTGATTCTGAATATTTTGGCAAGTTGGACCCTTCAATTCGTGATGAATATGAGTCACGGGTGAGTTTGTGTTGTGGTTATCAGTTATCTCTTGTCTGTAAAAAGAGTAGTAATTTGTTCAATGAGATTAATGTGAAAACCATATCACTTTCTTAACCTGCATATCAAGTGAGAGCTCTGACCTCATCCCTTCACAGGCCATTTTAAAAAGCTATGTGGTTGCTGGATCGGACGTTGGCAATCCCGAAAAAATCGTGGCCTACTTGGTTCCTTCCTTGGATGAGGTAAACAAGTTTTTTTCTCAATTTGTTTATACTTCCTGTTTTATATCAACTTTTTTTTTTTTACTGTGCCAGTTGTCTAAGGATATGCATGATGAAAACGAGGATATCTCTTATACTTGGGTTCGCGAATACATCTGGGATGTATGTACCTTTAGCCGATGTGATTTCGAGTATATTTGTTTTTTTTTGTTTTTTTGGTTGCAAATCGAAATAAAAATATTACCTGTTTTATAACAGATACCACAAAAAGAGCAAAACGAGCGTGACACATACCTGGTATCGTTCGAGGATGGGACCGCTAGCTATCTGGTATTTCCTAAACTAGAACTGCATCTCTCGTTGTGTTACATAGTTCAGTTGTTCCATATGAGATGATGACCCTGTGAGCATATGGCAGCCACTACCCACAAGGCTGAACATACGGAAGAGAAGGGCCAGGGAAGGAAGAGCGTCTGATGAGATTGAACACCTACCAGTACCTGCAAGGGTGACTGTAAGGAACAGATCGTCTGTATCAATAATCGAACATAAAGATTCAATGGTACAGTAAAAAATCCAAACATTTAGCCTTTTACACAAGAAGTATGTGGAAGATTTCTACTAGTCTTGCCAATTTCTTTGGATGTAGGTTAATTCAAATTCTAGGATAGGTGCGTCGAGCTCCAAGATGAGAAGGATAGAGGAGGAAGAAGACCTTGGCAGATCTTGGAAACACGGTTCGGAACAGGGTGCTAATCAATATAGTGATAATAATGATGACTATTCTGAATGAAATGTATGCGCCATACAAAACTGTTATTTTGTGTCGGAATCAAACATGCTCTTTAGCAGTCCATAGGGTCCAGACATGTTTTGCCAGTAATGTATTTTGAAAAATGTGTTTTTTAAGAGATAAAAGACTTGTGTGTGTGTTCCCTAGTGCTTTCATCATGCAAGTTACTTGTTTAAAGTTGTTCTTTATGATTCTCCTCTCTAAAGCTTCAAAGATCACGTTAATACAACGCCTCATATCATCAGTGTTTATGGCCTTTTGCCATCATATCTCATCTCTCTAAGTTCCTACATATCCATCAACTTAACAAGTCGTTGACTGATTGGAGGGGAGAGACTTTTCTAGTGTTTCAAATTTCAACTACTGCTAAAGCACTGCATAAGAATAACTTTATATTGTGGAACAACAAACAAAGTGGCTGTAGTTTAGTGGTGAGAATTCCACGTTGTGGCCGTGGAGACCTGGGCTCGAATCCCAGCAGCCACACATTTTTTTCCCCTTTTTATGTCTATAAACGACGTCGTTTTACAAATTCATCTATTTAACCGGAAAGTCTTCTGTTCCTTGTCCTCTTTACGATCTGCTTCTTACTTAACACAGTGAGGGAAGAAAAACTGAAGAGAAAAACCATCTGCTTCTACGCTCTCGAAGGTATATCCATTTGTCTATTCCTCAATTTTATTTCGTATATAGATAGATGGTAGGGAATTTGTGGATCTTACTTGTTCTTTGGCATGAATCCATTTCCTACGGTAGAGATCTGATTAGTAGGACTCTCACTACGATGAGATCCAATCAGCTTCGTCTTTTTTTTTTTGGGCTGATCAAAGGTTGTTGTTACTCCTTTGATCATTCTGGATTTTTGTGCTCTACATCTCGTGTAATTTTTACATCCATCTCTGTTTAGGTAAAAGTGGATTTTTTCCCGACATGTAATCCTCATTTTGTGAGCTATTTGGTATAACTATGTCAGTTCTGGTTTCGTGTGGAGATTAGAAAAGAATGTTAAAAATTCGAATAATCATGTTTCGAAAGTCTAGTATTCATTGGTGATTCTTACAATAGCTCATTGCTGTGATGTTACAGATGTTTGACGACCAGGACCTCGGATTCTTTGCTAACTTTCTTGGGATTTTCATCTTCATTCTGGTCATTGCTTACCATTTCGTCGTGGCCGACCCAAAATTCGAATGACAACCGGTGGTTTTTATCCTTGTTAGTTTCTTCTGCAGAACTATTATAATGAGTTGGTATCAAACATGTCTTTAGCATCCCCATAGGGTCGACATGTTTTGCTAAGTAATGTATTTTGACAATGTGGTTTTTAATAGATAAAAGAAAGACTTGTTTTTTTTTCCATAGTGCTTTCATCATTTCAAAATTTATCATGTAAGTTACTTGCTATCATACAGCTTCTATACATGTGCATGTCTTCTGCCTGCCTTTGTCTGCTTATATCACAGTTTCAACAAGTTGTTGAGATTTCCATGGTATGCATAAGTCTAGATTTTGATGCTTGTGAGTAACCAAAACACTTGGCTTCATGAATTGTTATGGCTAAAGTTAGTTTCTTCACATAACCATGAGAGCTATTCTATTCACAGTTTTTTTTTTGGTTTCAAATTAGCATAAGTTTATTTTGAATGGTTTTAAGTGGTATAGTACATACACATTTGTCCTTTGTTTTGTGGTACTCGGTTTCTATTGCGTCAAACTTCTAATCCAGAAATACACCACTCAAACAGAGAGCAGTTTCATTCCTAAACTTCTCTGCATCTTCGGGGTTGTTGCTAGATGAGTACCTGCACCAATGATAAGTGTATTTCCATGGGGTTTATATGATTGTAGTTCGCTGAAAGAGTGAAGCTTCTTTTAGTAATATATGGCAGTTGTGATTATGTCGTGTAGCTACTTATAAGTAGTCTAACTTGGGATAGGTTCTGGAAGTAGTCAAAAGATAGGGACAAAGAACCGAAAGGCTGATCGTTAAGTGGGGATAAACGATTTGTAGGCTCTGTCTCGCCTTATGTATTGCTTTGACCTGTTCAAAACAAAGAAACACAAAGAGTTTATGAGTCATAATGAGTGTAAATCTTGTGTAAAGGATGTATACTACAAAATCTCCAACACACATTATTGCAGTGTGAAGTGCCAAATTCTGTGTCTGCCACATATAATATAAAGCGTCAGTTACTATCCTTTTTAGCTACTATGTGATTAGAGCAGAGAAGTAGCACACCAGCATATATGATCTAGGCATCTAGCCTTCGAAAGTGTACCAACACACTGAAAAGAGAAGTAATGGCTAAAGTAAAAACCCACATCTTCTAGATAATTACAGTTTGTTAAAGGTGAAACCTTTCTCTCTTTTTTTTTTATGAAGATCAACACATAATAATACTTTGTAATTATTCTGAATAATTGTTATGTAAATTTTAAAAGAAATGGAAATTAGACATTTTATTTGGGTCAAGAAAAAGAAAATAAACATTTGCTGAGTTTTTTAAAAAAGGAAAAATTACAATCCGCATATTTAGGAAGAACATTGAATAATACCCACTTGCTCGTGGAAAATAGGAAAAAAAGACGCTCCCAAACACTGTAACTCACAAACCAATCAAACCACAAAGAAATGCCAACGTGTACAAAACTAAGGTTTTACCTCACAGCCGCCGAACATTCTCGAACCTTTTTTTTTAAACAGCCTGGCGCCTTTAGATCTGAGTTCATTCGTGACCGCCAGATTAAACCTAAAGCCTCCCCACACAAGCCTCTCTATATAAACAAACCTTCTTCCTCTTAGTTGATTACAAATTCACGAAAAAAACTAAACCTAGCCGCCTCTTATTCTCTGTAGTTCATTCTTTTCGATTATAATGTCTGGTAAAGGAGAAGGCCCAGCGATCGGTATCGATCTCGGTACGACGTACTCTTGCGTCGGAGTATGGCAACACGACCGTGTTGAGATCATCGCTAATGATCAAGGTAACAGGACCACGCCGTCTTACGTCGCTTTCACCGACTCCGAGAGGCTTATCGGTGATGCTGCTAAGAATCAGGTCGCCATGAACCCTATCAACACCGTCTTCGGTACGTATCTCTCGTCTTCTTCGTTATTTTAAATATCTTTGATTAGATCTGAGATTTGGATTAGATCTGAGCCGTGGAATGTTAGATTTAGGATTCTATTAGTAGATCTGACTTGGTAGAGTTTGTTTAGTAATTTGATTAAGCTTGTAACTGCTTTTGAGATCCGTTTATTGATTGCTTTTGTGTGTGTGTGTGTATGTGGCAGATGCGAAGAGGTTGATCGGTCGTCGTTTCAGCGACAGCTCTGTACAGAGCGACATGAAGTTGTGGCCATTCAAGATCATCTCTGGAGCTGCCGAGAAGCCAATGATTGTCGTCAACTACAAGGGGGAAGAGAAGCAGTTCGCTGCTGAAGAGATTTCCTCCATGGTTCTCATTAAGATGCGTGAGATTGCTGAGGCTTACCTTGGTGTCACCATCAAGAACGCTGTTGTCACTGTCCCTGCCTACTTCAACGACTCTCAGCGTCAGGCTACAAAGGACGCTGGTGTTATTGCTGGTTTGAATGTTATGCGTATCATCAACGAGCCAACCGCAGCTGCTATTGCTTACGGTCTTGACAAGAAGGCAACCAGTGTTGGAGAGAAGAATGTGTTGATCTTTGATCTTGGTGGTGGTACTTTCGATGTCTCTCTTTTGACTATTGAGGAAGGGATCTTTGAGGTTAAGGCCACTGCTGGAGATACTCATCTCGGTGGTGAGGATTTCGATAACAGAATGGTGAACCACTTTGTTCAAGAGTTTAAGAGGAAGAGCAAGAAGGATATTACTGGAAACCCGAGAGCTCTTAGGAGGTTGAGGACGGCTTGTGAGAGAGCGAAGAGGACCCTTTCTTCCACTGCTCAAACCACCATCGAGATTGACTCTCTCTTTGAGGGGATTGATTTCTATTCTGCACTCACCCGTGCTAGGTTCGAGGAGCTTAACATGGATCTTTTCAGGAAGTGTATGGAGCCAGTGGAGAAGTGTCTACGTGATGCTAAGATGGACAAGAGCACTGTCCATGATGTTGTCCTTGTTGGTGGTTCCACACGTATTCCCAAGGTTCAACAGTTGCTTCAGGACTTCTTCAACGGCAAAGAGCTTTGCAAGTCTATCAACCCTGATGAGGCTGTTGCTTACGGTGCTGCCGTCCAGGGAGCTATTCTCAGCGGTGAAGGAAACGAGAAGGTGCAGGATCTTCTCTTGCTCGATGTCACCCCTCTCTCCCTTGGTCTTGAGACCGCCGGCGGTGTTATGACCACTTTGATCGCCAGAAACACTACCATTCCAACCAAGAAAGAGCAAGTGTTCTCAACCTACTCAGACAACCAGCCTGGTGTGTTGATCCAGGTCTTTGAGGGGGAGAGAGCCAGAACCAAGGACAACAACCTCCTCGGTAAGTTTGAGCTTTCTGGAATCCCTCCAGCTCCACGAGGTGTACCTCAGATCACTGTCTGCTTCGACATTGACGCCAACGGTATCCTCAACGTCTCTGCTGAGGACAAGACCACTGGACAGAAGAACAAGATCACCATCACCAACGACAAGGGTCGTTTGTCCAAGGACGATATTGAGAAGATGGTTCAAGAGGCTGAGAAGTACAAGTCTGAGGACGAGGAGCACAAGAAGAAGGTGGAAGCCAAGAACGCTCTCGAGAACTACGCTTACAACATGAGGAACACCATCCAGGACGAGAAGATTGGTGAGAAGATACCGGCTGCAGACAAGAAGAAGATAGAGGACTCTATTGAGGAGGCGATTCAGTGGCTGGAGAGTAACCAGTTGGGAGAGGCTGATGAGTTCGAAGACAAGATGAAGGAGTTGGAGAGCATCTGCAACCCAATCATTGCCAAGATGTACCAAGGAGCTGGAGGTGATGCCGGTGGCGCTGGAATGGACGATGATGCTCCTCCTGCTTCAGGCGGCCCTGGCCCTAAGATCGAGGAGGTCGACTAATCTGTTGATTCTTAGACGTCTCTCTATCTCTTTCTTTTGATTTTGAATCTCTTTTAAGAACTTTTGTTTGTTGGACCTGTTTAATAGGTCCGTTTTGCTACTATTTTTGTTACAACTCTGTAGTCTGGATGTTCTGTCCAGATATGATGACGGATAATCAAAGTTTTGGCTTTTCCTATCTTGGTGTTCATTATTTAGTTATTTTCCTTCCGCTGTGAGCTTAATAATTACTGTAGATTACATGATAGAGAAATGAGACGATGACATTAAGAGTGTTTTTGCAGTGTTATAAGAACAAAAAGTTGTAATGCAAGTAATCATATTTTGCATGAGCCTCTTACAATGCAAACAGGGCCTTTTTCAGTGTGAAATGAAATCTCACAGTAAACTCGGGTGTCCGGCCCATTGGTATAGCCTTTGTGTATATGACGAAAGGCTTGGTATAGCCTTTGTGTATATGACGAAAGGCTTCGTATAAAATAAGGTGTATTAAACTATAGTTACATCATAAAACTTGCTCAGAGAATGAAAATTTAAAACTCAGAATTTATTTCCGTTTAAATAATCTTTGCTTTCTCTAAAATAAAGCTACTGACAAATCTTCAACTAATGTGATCTTTTAAAATGGAAGTACATAAACCAAACATAACAAAGTGTGAAAATTACACTATGACCAAAATAAAATGTGAAAATGTTACACTTGGGGGATTGCACTTCTGCTTTTGCTTATTTCCCATCATTGTACACAAATGCTTCTCTACAGAGTACATAAAAACATCTTTCATCACGTCAACTTAAGCTCGCCTGCTCCTCCTCCCATGTGGAGTTGTGGCCGTAGACAAACTCTAACCTCGTGTTCTTCCTCCACTCCTCCCCTCAACTTCGGCACAAGAATCTCAAGAACCGGCCCTGTCCCATCAAAATACGCTTCAATGTTTGCTTCTTCCGGAATCCGATTTGGCAACTGTATCTCCCTCATGAACTCCCCAGGAGGACAATGCTCAGCCGTCTGATCAACCAGCTTGAAAGTACGCTCCCTCCTCTTAACCAAAGGAGCCCTCGACGTGCTTGATCCCGTGACCTTGACGATTCCGTTAGTGATGCTGTTCCTCCATGAAACCTTGACGCTGTTTAAATCCACAAATGGTAAAGTTATCACGATCAGGTAAGCTTCTTCGTCTTCGTAGATGGTTTTGGCTGCAGTCGCGGGCCCGTGAACGTTCTTCATCACTCCAGTGAAGTCCTTTACCCAACCAGGCTGGGTCTCAACGTTGTTCACAGTCAAGCAACATTCTTCTTCGCTGCTCCCCGGAGATAAGAACTCTTTTCTCTTCTTATTATTAACGTTGCCTCCTACTCCACCTGGAGATTGATCTGATGAATCACCATTGCTGCTGAAAGAAGCGTTGTTTGTCAAATGTAACCCCGAACCATTAAGGATCTTCTTGGCGTTGTTTACCGCCGGTTTTGCAGGCTGTCTCTCGAGCTCGAAATCTGTGTTGGGAAGGTTCCTCCAAGAACCGAAATCACTAGCATCAGGAGGGATAGTGAACTTCAAATCTCTACCCGTTAGCTCCATCCACCTCTTCTTATCTTCTTCACTAACACACAACAGACTCGGTGAAGGCACAAACTCTATCCCGTGAAGACACTGAGGATTAGAGAGTCCTCTGTAATGCTTCCTCTGCATCCTGTGAGACCTAACAAACCCTCTCTCCGCGCTAAAGGGAAACGGACGCTCTCCTTGACGAGAATGCCCGTTCATATAACTTCTCAGCTGCATTTTCCCGAGAGCATTCTCAGGTTTATCCTTAAAAGCCCACATATACATGTTCTCCATATCATGCTGAACAAGAAACACATCGAGCTTGAGATCAGACTTATCAAACCCTGTAAAGCATCCTCCTCCAGTATCAGTAGTTGCCTTAACGACTTTAGACTTTGACTTCTCGTTCAAAGCCGGTCTGAAGTAGGAGCTGAAGAAGAACCAAGCTCCCCACATGCTATCACCACGTTTCAAGCATTTCTTAGTGACTTTACTTGGAGCCACGTTGAGGAACGTCTCTGTCTCGTAGACATGTGAGCTAAGGCCAACGTCTAGGATGTTGTCGCAAGAGTCTAAGTTCCAAGTGGGAGAGCTTCTTCCTACGGACAAGGGGAGGTTGATGTCTGGTGGGTTGTAGAGAGTGACGTTGTTCATGTCGAGATCGAGTTCTTCGTGAGAGGAGCCACTAGAGTCCATGGATAAGAGCGTTGAAGGGTGGTGATTCTCCATCGACATGAGAATCGAACCTTTCATTTCACAATAACACGAAATCGAATCGAGTCTTCTTGTTTTTTTTTTAAAAATCAAAATGTAAAATTTCAATCTCCCAAATCCCAGATCTCCCAATTAGCCATGAAATTGAGATCCAAAAACCCCTAATTCGAATCTCGGAAGACGCTAGAGAAAGACGATATCCAACCCTAACCCTAGAATTTCCTGATAACCCCCAGAAAGCGGCGGGAAAATCCGACTCAGACCCATCCTTGAAATATACATTGGAATTCAAAGTTTCCTCCTTTTTCCAATGACATCAAACTCTCACAACAAACAATCCTAATTAGAACCGGAAGAGATCAAGCCCAGATGATACCTTTGGAGATAAGGAAGAAGGGATTAGCAGAAAACACGAAACCTCCATCATATTCACAGTGGGTGTTTCAATCTCTTGGATTCAATCTTTTCTTCCCCCAATGATTTGATTCAGTGAAAGAAAAAGTTATCTCTTTTGTTTTTTTTTTTGTTTATGTGATTCTTTTGTGAAATGTTTGGGATGTGAAGGAGAGAGAGGTGTTTATGTAGGAAGAAGGGGAAGGTTCGTGGGTGAGAGTGAATGTGAATAAGAAAGAAGCTAAAAGAGAAGCAGCCTGAACTAGATACTACCTCATCCCCCTCCCCACTCTCTTTCTTCCAATTATTATCCTTTTTTAATATATAGTTTTCTTTTTATATTTTTAATATATTAATTCTTTCCTTTTCCTTTCTCTACCAATTTTTCATGGGTACTTATCGTGGTACATGTGCTTATCAACACAACGATTTTTCTTTTTTTCTTCTCACTTTTCATATTGTTGAATTATGTCGGGTTGTAAATTCTAAAGTGTTTTTTTTCTTTTTTGAAAAAGTCTTATTACATTGGATCAACCAAATATCCACAACTGCTTTGTTAACTGTTTCATTATGGATAGTATTTGAATTCCTTTCATTTTTCAACCGTAGAATTATGTAAATAGTTCTAGTCTGTGCTTGTAGGGGTTGTTAGTAGTCTTCTTGTTATATGTTGAAGTCTATGCGGAGACATGGTTGGTGATTAGCTGAGTTATATAATTTTTTATTTGTTAATTTAAAGTAATATTTAATCAATACTAGTGGAGACTATTTGCATTATTGTACTCCAGTGAGTGTGTAACATTATAACTTTATAATATTTCTTATTTGTTAGTTAAAAATATATTCTTTTTTATGCGTCATCGTCAGTATTGGTATTCAACGGCTTACGTATTTGATCATCAATTAATCAACAGCTTTTCTGACTTGTTAAGTGCATTGGAAGTTATAACTATCAACGACTTAAAATGCTTTGAAGATAATTACGAGGATAACTTATTTTAAGGATGAATTGTGTTATCCTCGTAAGAAATGCATTTTGAGTAATTTATGTGAATATCATATTGTAATCCAAGATTAATTTATTTATAAAGACTCAAATAATTTTCTTAAAAAAAATAGGCTAGACTCTAACGTCTTTATATACTTGACACCTTGCATATAATAACAAAAGCTAATGGACTACATAAGCCAACCATATCATACGGTAATAATTTTGTTTATCGGATGTTCGGTTCCTGAAGGGACACTAACATTATAGAATAGTATATTTACTGCATTCGATACGAACAGAAGTTGACAAAAATAAAATAAATAGAGTAATTAGAGGTGATGAAACCAAAAAGAGGAGAAAGAATCAAACATGACTTTAAACTCAATAATTGAGATCTGAGAGGACGTTGAAGATGACCCTAAAAAGATATTGGGAGTTGCCACCTCTCATACCAATACAACGACAGATAAACAAACAGCAAAACAAAAATATTTGAATACACCACACTACTAGTAATCTATAATGACTTGAATATGTATATTTTTCTGAGTATCTGACAACACACAATAACATCAAAGTGAACAAATCAAATTTTGTAACAGTTTATTCTCTTATTTAATCCTGGGACAGTTTCATAGTTCTGAGTAAAGGTAATTAATAATGGTGGATTGATTACCCTAGGCCGGTCTTATTATGTTATGATGTGCGCGTTTGAATCGTAGTAATGACACCTGTCGTGGTAGAGTAGAGTTTATTTTCACTGATATAGACTTGATGAAAACTGGGTCGGATAACTCGACAACGTTTCACCAACATTTCACCTATCAGAACGTCTATGGTTTTAGGTAAGAACTAGAACTAGCTAAAAATTACAAAACTGGTTTAATCAATATCTGTACATAGAAACAAAATGATATTTCGTCCACCAATCATAGAGGACAAGTGGCCAGTGACTAGTGGTAGCAGTTTCATAATATATATATCGGTTAAATTGTTATGTTGTATGTTTTTGTTAATCATTTTTAAATTATGTATATATATTTATCATATAACACGCATATATATTTAATCTGTGGTTCATATGATTATTATTATTTATTTTTGTAAAAGAAGGACATTTATCTGAGAAGCTATTCACTTTCGATCCAATGCAACAACATGTCTTACACGTTCGGGCGCTTAACGTGTGAACTAAAGGCATAAAAAGAAAGGAAAATTATATTAAAAGTGAATAACGAGGTTCTTTTGTAATAGTAGTTACAAGGTGATGGTATTGATACGGACCATGTCTTATAAGAAGAAGAATTAATAAACTTTATAAGCGATAATGTATTCACAAAAACTCGATGGCAACGTACCAAACATATCAAGATTCAGTGAACATTAATAATAATAATAATATGATTAGACAAAAAAATAAATTATTTTTATACAACTGGATCGAATACAGACACAACTGTCAATACGTAATAGAGAGAGAGAGACAAATATTTTATTTACTTCATAAAAAATAAAGATATATCACATGTTTGGTAATAATCCAGCTAAACTTAATGGGCTTATTAAAGTTGCAAAGGCCCAATTTGGATCCCCGCCATAAAATGTTCAAAAAAACGACGACGTTGGGAGGGAGGAACGTTTGGGTTCCAAAGAGAGAGAGAGAGTGTGGGTGGGTGTGTTGAGGCTTATGTATATGGCTTTGATGGGCTATGGAGTAAAGCATCGTTGCTTCTGCGATTCCTCTCTAGCAGAGTTTGATTAGCGCCAATTTAGCTAACCGAAACCAATCCGGTTTGTTGTCTGTAAGAAAACAAAACCCTAGCTAGAGCTACCAACCAACCTCTAGTTTCCGCCATTGGAGAGGATCACTAACTGGTTCATCTCTGATCCCAGATTCAAAAACTGAATCGAGCTTTTCTTTCTCCGTTCTCGCTTAGATCTATCTCATCCACTGAGTTGATATCAATTTCATCTATGTTTTGTGCTTTGCTGTTGTAATTAAGAGATTCACATGAACAAACAAACTCAAAAGCTTTTTCTTTTTGGCTAAAATTAATCTGATGATTCGTATAGTTAATTAATTGGTTGAAAAATGTGTGTGCAGGGGGGAGTGTAGGATGGAGATGGATTTGTTTGTGACACCGGAGAAGCAGAGGAGGAATAATCAATCTTCATCAGTGAGCTTGGGGAAAACTCCTGTGAGAAGGAGATTGATTGTTGATGACGATTCTGAGGTTGTCTCTGAGAAGAAAGGTCAATCTAGAACTTCTGGTGGTGGCCTTCGCCAATTCAGCGTCATGGGTCTGTGTCTTTGCACGAATTTTGGGATTGTTTGATTAACTGCTCGTAATTATTTATGACTCATCCTATGGATATTTATCTCAGTTTGTCAGAAGCTGGAAGCCAAGAAGATTACTACTTACAAGGAGGTATAACACTCTCTACTACTCCGTTAATAATCCTCTAACTTCGTTGTTTTTAGCACTCTATCAGTTACTACTTGTGTACTTCTGATTAGGAGTGTTGTGGTACTTCCAGGTTGCAGATGAAATTATTTCGGATTTTGCAACAATTAAGCAGAACTCGGATAAGCCTTTGAATGACAATGAGGTATTTATATATATATATCTAGATGGAAAAGGCTGACTATTATCTCTTTGAGCTATGGAAGCAAAATACATAAGTTGTATCAACATTCTCTTTTTTTTCATCAATTAGTATAATGAGAAGAACATAAGGCGGAGAGTGTATGATGCACTCAATGTCTTCATGGCCTTGGATATCATTGCAAGGGATAAAAAAGAAATCCGGTGGAAAGGCCTTCCCATTACCTGCAAGAAAGATATCGAAGAAGTTAAGGTGTTACCTCTTTGCTGTGCCTTTGGATATTCTTGTTCTTTCTCTTTGTCACTTATCTTTGGATACTCGTATTTGCAGATGGATCGTAATAAGATTATGAATAGTGTGCAAAAGAAGGCTGCTTTCCTTAAAGAATTGAGAGAAAAGGTGATCCTCTTTGATTTTTTTTTTCTTTTGTTATGCATTTGAATAGATGACAAAAAGCTATTGATGTTGTAGGTAGTGTAGAAATTATAAGCATTCGTCTATTTTGAACCTAGCATGGTGTAGTAAATACGTGTTTGAGTCATTCTCTGTTGTCTTGATGTAACAATGTCAATTATCTTTCTGCATTTTGTGTATATGATTCCTCAAATGTCATTTGTCTTCAGGTCTCAAGTCTTGAGAGTCTTATGTCGAGAAACAAGGAGATGGTTGTGAAGACTGAAGGACCAGCAGAAGGATTTACTTTACCATTCATTCTACTTGAGGTACTTCAAAATCTCTTCTTTTAGTTTCTATCTTTAGTTCATGTAGTTTAAGTATAGTCTATCTTCATCTTGAATATCTCCCTGCTCCCTGTAGACAAATCCTCATGCGGTAGTCGAAATCGAGATCTCTGAAGACATGCAACTTGTACACCTCGACTTCAATAAGTACTAAACAACACATTTTCTTTTCTTTTTTTCTCTGAAATCGAAGATCAGTTTTGCTATCTCTTGAATACGAGATTGATAAATTCTTTTCTTTGAACCCGTTTGATTTTAGCACGCCTTTCTCGGTCCATGACGATGCTTACATATTGAAACTGATGCAAGAACACAAGCAGCAGCAGCAGAACAGAGTGTCTTCGCCTTCCTCTACACATCAACACTCTTCTGCTCATTCTTCCTCCAGTTCTTGCATTGCTTCTGGAACCTCAGGCCCGGTTTGCTGGAACTCGGGGATCCATTGATACTCGCTAGACCCGTGATTCTGCTCCCAATTCCTCAAGAAAGAAGAAGAAGCCATCTAATTTGGTATACTATAAAAATTATACATCTGGTTTAAGTGTTGCCATTTGAGAGAGACTGTAAAACTTGTGATCCATAGGCCAATTCACAAATGTTTGTAAAACCGATTCGGTTAACTCTTTGTCTGAGACTGATGATTTTAACAAACTGAACCGTGTTGAATCGATTAGCTATTTTCTTTCTCAGCTGTATTTGAGGACTTTAAAATCAAACATAGCTTAGTTCCCCGGTTTGGCTAGTTACCGAAGTTAGGAAATCCGATGTTCCCGGTTTGGCGCGTGTTGATATGTTTCCTACTAAAATTTAAAATTCCCATACAAAATAACAAACAAACTAGATTTTGATGTGCGGGTAATTTTTCATTTTTTAAATATAAAAATTAAAAATATTTTAATAATTTTATTTTCTGTAAAATTTATTACATAATTTACGAATGTTTAATATTTTTAAAGGTAAATAATATTTTAGTCACTTAAATGGTGATTGATATTTTATTTATTTATTAAAATTTTTTTTTTAGATATATATATATATATATATATATGAGTTTACCAATTTAATATAATTTTATATGTATTCATTTATTATTTCTATTTTAATATAATATAGATTATACTTATAAAATTTATAAAATTGGCATATAGTATATTATATTTTGTTTATAATAAAATTTTAACTAAGATTAATGTATAATAATATTATAATACTAATTATGAAATTAAACAGTGCATTAATTAAAAATATTTAAATTTTTAAAAAGATTTTGTTAGATTTTTTCTCAATAGATTTTGTGATTACTAAAATTAAAATTTCAAATTACAGTTAAAATAAATTTGTTATTAATATCTTTATAATTATTTAGAAATGTTATACATTAAATAAACTAATGTAAATAATCAAAACAATGTAACTGAATATATAGATCTAGTATGACTTTTCTATAGTAGATAAAAATGGTACTTCTCTTTTAATAAAGAAGATACTTATTTTTTATCTTTGGAAAAGTTAAATAGACATCGAGGCGGTTCTAGGGACAGAAAAGCGAAATTGGTTGGGACACTAGGGAAGAATGTTTTGGTTAATTAATACACCTCCATTTTTTAATAGATAAGGTTTTAGGTGTAGGCACATAGATTAATAAAATTTTAAATTCTTTACATTTTCTAAACAAAAACATCATTCCCTATATATGTATTCATAATTTGACCAATAGTACAATAGCTTGGATTATATCATTACTCATATAATATTAGTTGTTAATAATCTTGAAAATTGAAACAATTTTTTTTTTAAACATCATCTATTAAAAAACAGAGGGAGTAATTCCCTCCATATTTTTTTATAATTGATGGTTTATGATTGTGCACATAGATCAAGATCCATTTAACTTTTGTACATTTTTTAAACAAAAGCATTTTAATTGCTTACCTAACCACAATATAACCCAAAAAATTGTATTTGTGCCAAAATACAAATTTAATCAAATATAAAATTTTAATTTTACAATACTACATTTAAATATTTATCATATAAATTCACCCTTATCCTAATTAATATTGATTTCCTATCTTCTCACAAATTCTGAAAAGTTAAAATCCAAAACAGTTTTTTTTTTCCAAAAGCAAAGATTGTTATCTGATCTTTCCTATTATATATACCCTAAAAGTGTAAGAAATATTTTGTGGATACTTTTTAGATTAGAAAAAAAAACTTTTCTTTTTGGCAAAAAATTCATAATGTCCCGAAGCAACCAACCGGAACCCAACAAATTCATTTTTCATGCTACAAACTGTGAATATAAATACCACAACATATGTAGTGTAGAAACATAAAAAAAAAATCTAAAGAAATTTAGTCTGTCTCAGAAATATAGCAGGCTAGACAAATGAACAATTTCTTGATAATACTGATCCTTTTGGACCTGTGCACCGGCTTAAGCAATGGTTTTGATATGCAAGCAAAAACCAAAGTCATGTTACTTAACCAGTTGGAACACAACAAACTCCTCAAGGTTCGTTGTGGCAACCACAAAGGGGAGGAGAAGCTTCTAAAAATCGGTGAAGAATATGAGTTTACTTTCGGTGATAACTTTAGCGGAGCAACCAATTACTCGTGTAAAATGGACCGGGGTCCTGATAATTTCAAACATCACCAAGAGTTTGTGGTGTATGACGCGATGTGGACCAAATATCCTGAGATTACATGTAAGTGGATGGCTAGAGAAGATGGTATCTACTATTCTCAAGACGGAAACCTCCCTCAGAAGAAATATGAGTGGGAAGGTTCTCGCCTAACAGGAAACAAAGTCACGTTAAGAAACGAGTTAGAGCACAACAAACTCCTCAAGGTTCGTTGTGCCAACGATGAAGGGGAGCATCTTCTGAAAATCGGGGAAGAATATGAGTTTAGTTTCGATGATTACTTTTTCCATTCGTGTACAATGGCCCAAGGTCCTAATAATTTCAAACATCACAAAAAATTTTGTGCGTACATGCCAATCAATGCTGATGACGCTCCACCTAAGTGGATTGCTAGAGAAGATGGTATCTACTTTACTAACGATGGAAACGTCCCTCAGAAGAAATATGAGTGGGATGGTCCTCGTCTCCTCAAAAACTAGAATTTTATATCTTTGGTTGATATTTTATCTTTGAATCGTATATGATAAATATATTGCATTTGAATAATATGATAAATTAATGATTATATTATTACATTATGACTTATGTGTGTTTAATCTTGATAAAAAAATGTCTGTTTACTATGAAATAAACACGTCAAAACAATTATGATAGAGGTCTAAACGATTACTAAATAAATTTATAATGTGATTAGGTATTTTAATCAACAATAAATAGCCTAAAATTAAGTATATAATATTTATCAGAAAACTCGATATTTTTGTAGGGATTAACACACATATTTGATGATAAATTTGAAAATATTATACTTTTATTTTATTGCATAGCTTCATTATGCATTGTCATATGATGAATACTAAAGAGGTTTGAGACCTTAGTTAATCTTGTTTGTCATGAAAATACATATTTTATAGGAGTTAGTCCTTGAAATTAGGTCATAATTAAAATACTCTTTAAAAAAAAAAAAGATGTCTATATTCGATAAATCTTTTTTTTTAACATACATTAATATAAATTTATAATGTGATTAGGAATTTTTAATCAACAATAAATAGTCTAAATTTAAGTATATAATATTTATCAGAAAATTCGATATTTCTATAGAGTTTAACCCACATATTTGAGGATAAATTAGATAATATATTATTTTATTTTATTGCATATCTTCATCATGCACAATCATATGATGAAGACTAAAGAGGTTTGAGACTTAATTTAATCCAGTTTGTCAAGAAACTACATATTTTATAGTGGTTATTCCTTGGAATTAGGTGATTATTAAATTACTCTTTAAAAATTAAAAACGGTGTCCATACACCATAAAAAAAATTTGAACATACATTAATATAAATTTAGAATGTGGTTTTGTATTTTTAATCAATAATAAATAGCATAAACTTCAATACATAATATTTATTAGAAATTTGATATTTTCTTAAGGGTTAACCTACATATTTGATGATAAAAATATGATATATTATTTTATTGCATATCTTCATCATGAAATGTCATAAGATAACTATTAAAGAGGTTTGAGACCTTAGTTATTTCCGTTTGTCAAGAAAATACATATTTTATAGGGATTAGTCCTTGGAATTAAGTGATTATTAAATTACTCTTAAAAGATAAAAAACGATGTCCACTTACCATAAAATCAATGTTAAAGTACATTAATATTAATTTAGAATGTGATTAGGTATTTATAATCAACAATAAATAGCCTAAACTTAAGTATATAATATTTATCAGAAAACTCGATATTTTTGTAGAGGTTAATCAACATATTTGAAGATAAATTTGAAAATATGATATTTTTATTTTATTGCATAGGTTCATTATTCACTGTCATATGATGAAGACTAAAGAGATATGTGACCTTAGTTAATCTTGTTTGTCATGAAGATACATATTTTATAAGGGTTGGTCCTTGGAATTAGGTGATTATTGAAATACTCTTTAAAAATTAAAAAAAGATGTCCATACTCCATAAACAAAACTTTAACATACATTAATATAAATTTATAATGTGATTAAACTCGATATTTTTAGGGGTTAACCATCATATTTAATGATAAATTTGAAAATATGATATTTTGGTTTTATTGCATAGCTTCATTATAAACTGTCATATGCTTAAGACTAAAGAGATTTGAGACCTTAGTTTTTCATGTTTATCATGAAATACATATTTTATAGGGGCTAGTCCTTGAAATTATCTTTAAAAATTATCTTTTTAGATTATTTTTATATTTTTTTGGTTTAAGTTTTTTTTTTTAAAAGGAAAGCTGTTATTTAACACATATCATAATCTTAAATATATAATTACCATGTATTGCAGTCATATTAATTAGCAACTTTGAAGCTTGTAATTATCTTAAATTTATGTTTTGAAAAAGAAATACCATTGTTAAAATTTTATTTATATGGAAATTTAAAAAATGTTTTTTCTCTAAGAATTTAAAAAATTAAAGTTAAATTTTTAGATTGTTTTTATATTTTTGGTTTAATTTTTTTAAAAACAAAAATAAAACATATTGTTTAAAACATGTCATAATCTTAAATATATAATTTTCAAGTTTCATAATCATCTTAATTAATAACTTTTAAAAATAATACTATTATTAAATATTATTTACAGTAGAACCCCTATAAATTAATACTTGATAAATTCATAATTTTTATAAATTAATAAATTTACTGGTCCAATGTAAATATGAAACAAATCGATAAAATAATAGGATAATAATATTTTTAAACTGCCATGTAAATATATGGTCTCATTAAAATTATAAATTATTAATTCATCTATATATAATTTTATATAAGTATAATCTAATATTATATTGTTGGTTTTATATTTACGATTAAAAATACTTTTATTTTTTTAACATTTCAATATTGGGCTTTCCTCATAGTTTATAGTTTATTGGGCCTTTTATACACGACTTTTTAAATGGGCTTCTTTGTAGACTAGTAGTGTTATATATCTGGAGGTAAACATGTATCTTGCACATTCGAACTCGCAAAATCTTTCTCGCTCTTTTTTTCTGTTGTATCAAATATTCACTATACAAACATACAAAATATCCACTTCACTTCTCAATCATACATATCACATATATATTGATGCAACTAATTAGAGGAAAAATGATTCCACACACAAGAATAAGATTTTATTCTGAAACAAGAATACAAAAATAGAATCAATCATCCAAGCAAGGAAGAGCTTCAAAAGAAAATAGAGATGAAGGCTCTTCTAACAATGGAGGGAGCTGAAACTCTGCTTATCAATCATTTCTTGTCGTTTATGAAATTGATATCGGGTGCCTCCTCGATATCATCATCAGGCTGAGTTAATGCAAATTCCAACAAGATATTATCATTACCAAATTTTGAAGAAATTTCAATTTTGTTTTGTAACGCAAGGGGTAATAATATACGCACCTGAAGTAACTGAAGTAAGCGCCAAAGCAAGTAATCAATGATCATAACCATACAGAATACCTTCCCTGCCCATGCTCCACATGACAGGAACCTACCAACCATCATATCTTTTTTATTATACATCCATCCATCCATCGGTGTCCAAAGAAGAAAATAAAATAATGTACCGCGATAGACGCTCAAGAAGACTTCGGTTGGAACACTTCAAGGCACGGTCGTACACAATCTCGGTTCTTTTGGCAACATCTTGCCAACTGTACAGCTTCTTCATCTGGGTGGTAGCAACAAGCATATACATATATCAAAGGCTTGGAATAACTAGTTTTCCTTTTTTTTTAAAATCTCGGAGGACAACTCACTCGATTGTGCATCTCCTCCGGGTTAATACTTGGAAGTATTGATATTGCCTTCTGGATTGCTCGTACCATATCATCCGGATCCGGCTCAGCAAGCACAACCATGTCATCCGGTAGGACCTACACAAATCATCATGATGGAAACTCTAAATCATATTAAAAAGAGAAAATAAACAAAAAAAATAGGTGTACATGCCTCAGGGACACCTCCAACACGAGTGCTGACGGTTAATAAGCCGCAACTAGCCGCCTCCAATATAGCTATGCAGAAGGCTTCTGTTAATGAACTGTCACACACAGGTTCAAAAACATGTTGAACATTCATTCACAAGCAAGTAACTGCGATTCATGAAAGAATATGCACGCACACACACACAGACCTGTTAAGGAATATATGACCGGTGACAAGAACAGAGCGGACACGAGAATGAGGAACAGCACCAAGCATTTCAACTCTATCTTGAAGAGAATGCTTCTCCCTCATTTCCTCTAGTCTCACATGTTTTGGTCCATCCCCTCCAACTACAAAACGAACCTTTCAAAAAAACAAAAACATAAAAACGCGGATACAAAAAAAAAGAAGAAGCCATATCATCCACTTGAAACACTCACTCACATTGGGGTGTAAACGACAGACTTGTGGAATAACCTCAACAAGCAAATCCGCACCTTTCCGATAAACCAATCTACTTATAACAACTATAGTAATGACATGATCAGCACTAGGCCTAACAGAAGCTGGCTTGAACATAGCAGTATCAACAGCATTTGGTATCATATAAACCTTAGCTTGTGGCAATCCAGATCTCAAAACCGTGTTCTCCTTACTCGTGTGGGAGACACAAATAGCCTGGTCTATATCAGCTAAACTAAACTGTAAAACCTTGTTCATGTGGATGCTCCCGACATCAGCAAACCCGTACAAGGAGTGATCCGTGAAGACAACTCTGTATCCCATAGTCCGAGCATGCATCAAGGCTTCATGACAAAGGGTGGAGAAGGCTTGATGGCCGTGAACAACGGTAATTCTCTCGCGTTTGAGGATGGTTCTGACAATGGGAAGTGTTGCGTAGACAGTGGGGAAAGTGGTCTGCATAACGAAAGGTCTCCAGGGGACGTAGTAGACTTTGAGTCCACCTGTCATGTATCGGACTCCGGTTCGGTTCCCATAAGCATGCGTCATTACCACTACCTGCAAACAGTGAAAGGGCAATTGAATCTAATCGCATTTTTGATTTAACGCGGGGAAAGGAAGTAAGACAGACCTTGTGACCGAGCTTTAACAAGCATTGAGAGAGATAGTAGATGTGATTCTCGACCCCACCGAAGTTTGGGAAGAAGAAGTCGGAGACCATTAAAACCCTAATCTTTGGTTCGGCCTCCATTGATTCCCAAATCTCTGAGCTTTCTGGTTTCACTGAGCATACAAGGACAGGAGCACGCGACTTACTCTTCTCACTTGGCAGTCGACCATTAGAGAATCAAATCCACGCTCGAACGTTCTTCTTCTTCTGCGATGGTTGAACGGGATCTCTAGGATTCTTCAATTCCCATCCTCGTTTCCGCTGGAAAGTGGAAACTGACGAAGAAGAAGCGCTACTCCAACATGGGCTTTAATTGGGCTGCAAAACTGACGAAGAAGAAGCGCTACTCCAACATGGGCTTTAATTGGGCTGCAAAACATTTCCTGGGTATAAGGCAATACTTTCTGGGCCGTGGGTTTTACTATAATATTGTGGATTTTCATTTACCACTTCTAATTTGTTTTGTAAAACAACACTAAAGTAATAAACTGTTTTTTTTTTTTTAAATCTGATATTCAACAAACAAAGTAATGAATTTTGGGAGGCATAGTTAAGGAATTAAGCAACTGCCATAACACCTATCAATAGTTAGTTTACTATATAAGAAGTGTGTTATGTCTTGTTGCTTGCTTGACCAGACCTCTTAACAGGTTCAGACTGGGGTGGATAAAGTCACTAACCAGCATATGCGTCGCTAAAAATACCGTTCAATGTTTGACAATTATTGTATGGTTTTGGCTTACTGAATTGTAAGCGAGAAAAAACAGATCAATAATTACTTACTGATTTAAATAATGCCGCTACTGTCGAACAAAACAATAATGCTGATATTTTATTATCATGAACAGAAGGGTTTAACATTTGCTTTCCTGAAAGTTGCGGAATATGTGTATTACTTATTAATTTTTGATATTAAAAAACCAATGGAGTTTTACTATATTCTTCTTGGTTGATGTGCATTTCTCCCGGCATACATCTCATCAGCGGCAAACACATAAAATGAAGTATAGAAGGTTGTTCAATTCATCGATCAAAACAAGGTCTTAAATAGTACTAGTATTTTCTATATTCTCTCTATATATCAATGAGGTATTAAAACCAGAAAATATAACATTTAGATTTTGATAATTGAGAATGTAAATTATTGGTGGAAACAAGTAAATAAAAATTTTCAGTTGTATAAATCAGAATAAAAGGACTCATAACGAGATAAATTTTTATTGTTATCAACATGCCACTTGTATTATACAGAAAATTAAAAGAAAAAATGAAGGGGGAAATTAAAAGGATCAATTACCACCACACAGTCATAAATTAGAAATGATCAATATACTCTTCTTGGTCTTCTTCTTTACTTATTGTTTCCGTGACTTCTTGATCCTGCGGTCCAAATCTTCGAAGAACATCTCCATCTCCCGGCTCAGATCAATCGGTACACGGTTAACAGCATTAACCGGTGTCACTTTTCTTTTTGGTCCGGGTTTTCTAGGAGCTGGTGGACATAACGTATACTTCACCGCTGGAATCTTGTGAGCGGAAGATGTTGGAGTCTTGCAACCATCGTCGTTGTTGACTGTTGGATCTTCGTGATCAGGGAGGTCCAGCTCAAGTTGGATCGGTAAGTGGATATTGTCGACGTCTTCTTCTTGGATCTCCTTGACGCAGCATATATCTGCCATTAGGGGAACTTGTGAGAGAGAAAAAAGAGAAAAAGCAAAGTTAAGGAAAGAGAAGAAGAGATAACGTGCGTTGGATCCGAAACTTGAAAGCCAACATTTCAACTAACTATTGATCTGTCTCCTAATTGGCGGGATACAAAAAAAAATCTTAGTTTATTTGATTTTTCTTTTATATATTATATGCTCATTTAACTAGCACAATTTAATTCTTAGAACCTGAACTTTCGACGTAACAACATTATTTAAGATATTTGATATATCCATATAGCAAAAAAACATGTTTAGGTTAATGTAGGATGTTCAACTATAGTAACAAAAAACTATTCTTTACGAAATTATGTTTATATATGTTTATTGGAAAGAAGTGATTTTTGCATAGTTTTGTTATTATTAATTTACGTGTGGGAAACCTATTTCTACTTAACGATTTTGAACTCATAGTGTTTTTTTTTTGTTTAAATGCCTCTTTCTTCTACTTTGACTTGAGCTTTGCATTCTGTAGAAAAACATAAAACGGAAATGAATATATCGATCGGGAATAAAAGGTAAGAAATGTCTCCACAAGCTTTTATGAAATCAGACGCACGTGCCTTTGCCTTGCATGGGACCTCGATACATTTTCATGAACTTCTATGTTTTAGTTTCTCATGTTTCGTCAGATGATGTCTTATCTTTTTTGGCCCATAATTGCGAAAAAGAAAAAAAAATAGTGAAAAGAAAAATAGAAATAGTTTTCTCAAATGCTTACTTTATCGTGCACGCAAGCAACGAAGCACCAACTAATAATTGACTAAACTAATTAATTTGCTGACATTGTTTTCCTTTTCCGTGAATCAAACACGACGTGATGCTTACCCACGGGACATAAATGATGTTTAAACTCTCAGTGACTTTAGATGTTATTTTTGAGATTTGAAATATGAAAACGAATTGATGGTACAAATGATTGTTTAGTATAAGAGTAGAATGAATGTAATTCTAATTATGTGCAGTAAAATATACTATTATATGTATATGTAAGATGGAGAGATGGTACTGTTTTCTTGTATTTTAATGTATACCCTTTAGAATATTCCCTAGAATATTTCTCTAATCCTAATTTTGAGATCTTTAAAATTTTGATGCAATCTTTCATGTTCAGAACCTATAACATTCCACGTTTAGTATTTTTAATGAATTGTTGAACTAAACCAGAAAACTTTCTTTATAAATTAAATGAATTATATATTTTCTGGATACTTGGATTCCTCAGCCGTAAAATGCTAACCACTAAATAAAGATTTGGTAAACTTACCATGCTTTTTTATAATTAAACAACGTTTACCAGCAGGTCTTTCCAGATTAGTAAACTGTGAATAAAGACTAGGCTAAAATATTTGTATTACGGAATTATGTATGGATTAAGTGTTAGATTAAATGAATTAAGGAGGGATAATGAAAGATGAGTAAATAGGTATACATGTGGTGGTCATCCCTACGCACATGGTTAATCATCATGTCCTCCATCTTTCACGTTTTGCTATTTGCCTTTTTCGTATCTTAATAAGATTAAAAGTTTAAACTATTACGAGGTCAAAAACTTAACAGAAAAGTTCTCAATTTGAGTACAAACATGATCTAATAATACGTTTTCCCATTGACCATATCTTCATTATCATACGATAATGTTTTCATAGAAAGGGTCTATGCACCTCATGGTTGCCACCAGGAGCACGAACAGTGGCCAGAACAACGGATATTTCATGAAAGTGTAGTTCCTGCAGTCATCAACCTCAAGAACTGATGCCATGTTCCCACAGCAGTGACAATAGTTTGGTCATGCCTCCACATGAGCAAAAACAAAAAGTAGTATAAAGTATAATGGTAAGAGCAAACAAAAAAAATTCTAAAGCCTCGCAAAGCTATGGAAGGAATATAGAAGAGTTACATGAGCTAGTTGTAATATTACTCACTAGTTTACAACTGACTTGGGCCTTTCTTTACAGCTATTTTCGGCCTTTGTGAAAAAAAGAGAACAATGGGGAAACTAGCGGTTGCAGCAATGACGAGTTTGTGGGTGATTCCCATGTCGATGGTCGTCAACCACGTTGTTCCCGAACCCTACATGGACGAGATATTCCATGTGCCTCAGGCTCAGCAATACTGCAATGGGAATTTCAGAAGCTGGGATCCTATGATCACTACCCCTCCTGGATTGTAATGCTCTTAACTACCTCTCTCTCTCACTCTGCAAATGTAGCTGAAAATGTTGGTCTATATTTGTGGAGTTTTAAAAAGTTAGATTTTTTTATATGTTGTTGTAGGTACTGTCTATCACTTGCACATGTTGCTACTCTGTTTCCAGGAATGTTGTTGATGACAACTACTTCTCAGTCCTTTTCCCAAGCTTGTTATACGTCTGCCCTGAGGTCTACTAATGCTGTTTTTGCAGTATTGTGTGGTGTTCTATTGTATGAGATTATCAGATTCTTAGGGCCGAGTCTCAGTGATAGAAAAGCAACTTTAATAGCTTTGGTCATGACTCTCTATCCTCTGCATTGGTTCTTCACTTTCCTCTACTATACAGATGTTGCGTCTCTCACCGCTTTTCTTGCCATGTACCTCGCTTGTTTGAGAAAACGATTTATTCTCAGTGCTTTGGTAAAGTCGTTTTTAACCAATTTGTTGTTTTGTTTTGTTTTGTTTTGTTTTGTTTTGTTGTGAAGAGTTATAAAATATGGTTGCAAATTTATATATGTTTCTTGTCCTTGCAGTTTGGTACGTTAGCGATTTCGATCAGACAAACAAATGTAGTGTGGATGCTGTTCGTTGCTTGTTCAGGTGTTTTAGATTTCACTCTAGACTCTTCGCCCAGGCAAATAGATAAAAAAAAAGTAAACCAAGATTTGCGTCAGTCCACTGATAGGAAAGAAGCAACTCTGATATCGAATCTTAGAAAAAGAAAACCTGATAGCAACTTGGATACTAGACACAGTTTTGACTGTGGTAAATCTGTTTCTTCAACAGAGGATACTTCAGGTATGTTGACATATATATTGCTTTGCTCACACATAAGCATAAGTGTTCTTATAATGAAAAACAAATGCAGGCTTAGTCTATGATGTTTATGCTGTAATCTCAACATCTTGGAATATGAAGTGGAAGATTTTGGTTAGATTTAGCCCTTTCATCGTGGTTGTGGTAGCCTTTGATGTTTTTATCCTCTGGAACGGCGGTATAGTCCTCGGTATGCTGTTTTTTTGTTCCTCTCTTCCTTATCATTCAGTGTTTACATCAATATGTGTTTTTCTTACTAATCCATCAAATTCAATATCGCAGGTGCAAAAGAGGCTCATGTGGTTTCACCACATTTTGCGCAGATTATGTATTTTAGCCTCGTCTCTGCACTTTTTACTGCTCCCTTACACTTCTCAGTAGATCAACTGAGAAATCTACTCCAAGAGCTCCGTCGAAATTGGCCTTTAAGCCTTCTACTAACTCTTGTGGCTCTAATAGCTGGTTTTGCCTCTGTCCACTTCTTCAGGTTCAGATCTCTTGATAACTCTGCAAACACCTTAAGGACTTCTATTAAAAATTCTCATTCTGAAAACTAATTGCAGCTTGGCTCATCCTTATCTCCTGGCTGATAACCGCCACTATCCTTTCTATCTTTGGAGGAAAATTATCAACGCTCATTGGTTGATGAAGTACCTCTTAGTCCCTGTTTACGTCTATTCTTGGTTCTCAATCCTAACTTTATTAGGTATGTTCAAACCATTTTGTGTGGCACTGTTTTTTATCTTCCTTTTTTTTTTGCATTGTGAATTTGACTTTGGTTCATTTTCAATCCGACAGCGAATACTAGAAGCAAGTTTTGGGTGTTGGTCTATTTTTTAGCTACTTGTGCTGTTCTTGTTCCTACGCCATTGATCGAGTTCAGATATTACACCATTCCGTTTTATATTTTCATGCTTCACTCCTGTGTCAGAAGCAGCAGTTGCACCACTTGGCTTCTCATTGGAACGATATTTGTCTGCATCAATGTGTTTACAATGGCTATGTTCTTGTTTAGACCATTCGAGTGGAGTCATGAGGATGGTGTCCAAAGGTTTATTTGGTAGGGACATAGGGGTTTATGCTCTTTTGCTGTTACTAGTGTTATTAGGTTCCTCAGAAACTGGCGAGTTCATAACATTTTCTGTCGATATAAAAAGAGCTTGTACTGATAGATGGTATTGTGTTTATTCAAAGAATTAATTTAACTAATTTTAATATTGGAAATCGTCTCGAGGGTGGTCCTACGTATGTGAAATTGTGAATGAAAATGTTAATGTTTTACACATTGTCAACTATTTATATCCGATATGAGAAGACAATGTAATGGTCACCTAATAAGGAAATGCAAAGTGGATGGTTTATGTGTGAAAGAATGTTAGGTGAGTCAATGAGGAAGAGAACTTCCAAAGTCTTGGGAGCAGAGCTTTAGTCTGTTTTGTCAGAAATAGATACAGACGTACAGTCCTGATGTTAGGAACAAACGTGTGCTTTTTTCTTCTGATACAGTAGTCCTAATGTTTTAGTAGTTTTACCAAACTTAGAATAATGTTGAACAGTTCATCTTATTTTAGTTAAATCTCATAATATTTTGTAAAATTGCTTTCTTAATAGTATGATCCATCATACTAGAAAATTAAAGTTAATGTGAAGCTGATCATATACTATCTTCATTACCGAATATGATGAATTATATCTTGATACAGACAAATGACAACAATCATAATATGAATCTTGGAAAAGTACTACAATTTTTATTTTTTCCTAAACAAGAAGAAAAAGGCAAAAGTCGTTGTGAGAGTAAAAGATTTTTTCCTAAGACGTTTGATTTCAAATCTATGAGTATGATGGATTAGTTGTTAGATCATATGTCAAATGAGGTTTTTATCTAACCATTGACAAAGCGTCCCAAACGCGTCTTTCCACATTTTCAGATCAAAATAAATGATACAAACTCTTCGAAGTTGAGACTTAAAGGTTTTTAGGTTTTACAATTTTTTTAAAAATCGCTAGGCGGTAATTAAACATTTTATAGAAAACTAGCGCCTAAACGGATTATTCGGGACTTAGGTAAGAATTTGGCGTTAACGAATTATTGGTTTATTTTGTATATATTTTAAATTTATATAAGTTATGTTAGTTATTTTTCTGATTTAATTATAATTTTATTTTAATTAATTAGTAAAAACAGATATACAAAATAAAATAAATTACACAAATTTGTAATTCTTTACTAACATTATTACTTAATTTAACATATTTTTACTTATTAAAATCGATTACAGTCATTTTAGAAAAATAAGTTTAAATCGTTTTAAAATAGTTTAAACCAGCTTGAGTCATATAAATCAAATTTTAAGAAAATTGTTTCGGTAATAGGGATTGTCGCCTAGCCACCACATAAATCGATTTTTATAACGTTGGGTTTACATAGTTTCGATTTTACAAAAAAAGTTCTTAATTAAGAAATATACTATAAACATGAAATATGAGAGAAAGTTTCTTAAAAGAACTTAAACGCATGGAATTTTTCAAAATGAAGTATATACACTAATACACACCTATGTATTAGATATAGTTTTGACATTGGGATCTTACTAGATTCTAACATTCTAGAAACTAATTATTTCAACAACGTACGTCTTCAATCGTCTATAGTAAAATGAGTTGCGGACTCAGTCATATGTTGTGTTGCTGTTAATATTAAATGGTGTATAGTTCGAAACCTAGAATATGAGATAGAAAGAATAGTTGTGTGTTTTTGATAACGTTCTATGATACCAAGTGAAGAGAAAAGATTTGATTTACAAGGAGCAACCCATAATATGGCCACTTTGGTTCGTGCTTTCCACTAAACTATTTAGGTAAAAGTAGATACATCATATGAAAAAATATTGTGAGAAAAAAATTCAAATCGGAAAGCAAAAAAACAAACCGAGTTATTGAAATTAGTTCTTCAAAACATTCAAATATTCATGAAAAAACAATAAACAATATTCACATGGACGATCTCCATATTCTTCCTTCAAGTGAGATAACAATCACAGAGATATCATCATGATACCTCCGCCGATCTCCTTGTGGTATTTCCAACAGTTCATGGAAATCCATACCTAAAATATAACAAAACATCAAAAATTTCAACGTTGGAGATATTATAATTTATTTTTTAAAATTAGTTTGACTTATTTATTATTTTTTTTCTTACCATATTTGTTGGCAGCACGTAGGAGGACCTCCTGGATCAAGTGTTGAGCTGGATCGCCTTCAGGAAAAGTAGAGATGAATGATTCAACCTCGAAAATGGCTTCTTGGTTAGAGAAATATTCATACAACCCATCAGAAGAGAGGATCAAGAATTTGTCACGTGACGTTAGCTTGTGATGACATAGAGATGGAGAGCATGTGATGTATGGTGATGTCCCAATGTAGTCGATCCTGAACATCTCTAAAAGTGCATCGTTCCATTTAGGCTGAAATAACAAGAAACACACATAATATTAGATACAATAATTAAGAGTGTTGGTTCATATTACAAAACTGATAATGTTAAAGCAAGTGTATATATCAAAATGTTTTGAGTAAACCATGATATGTTAATTATATTCACCTGTTTGAGAAATCCAGCTCCAAATGCACGAGTAACCTTAAGATAACCTTTGACTCTATCATTTTCTATTGCACCATCATCTTCAGGATGTTCCTTCTTGATTCTTCTCACTTCCTGCACTCATTAAAACAAACAAAACCCATCAGTTTCTCAAATCCACAGACTTAACAACAAGACTTGATTTCTATGTGTTTTTACCTCTTCAATGCGTGTGCTATGTTCCTTGTTAAGCTGTAAAGGAACCAAACTATTACGCATTGTTGCTCCATTCACAAACATTTCTCTAACTTCCATGATCCTCTCCAGCTCCTTTTGCCTCCTGCTTCCAACCCCCACATTAGGTTTCCTCGCTAAAACGGCTCGACTATCTCCGACATTCATCACATAAACATCTTCTCCTTTCATCAACGTCACGAGAACGCATGATCCCATCAACGCTAGTTCCGGATTCTCTTCAACCATCGTATCAGCTAGCTCAAGATACGCATCTTCAGTTTTCCTCAAAGCTGTTACAAGAGCTTTGAGTACATCTCCATGGTTTGTTGTCGTCGAATTTGACCCTTTCTGATCGGAGTCGCTGTCAGACTTATTGGTATCGTTATTCTCCCACTCACATCTCCATTTCACACTCTTCTCTTGGTTTCTTGCGCCGGAAGCAACCGCGTCAATGTTCGTCTTCACTGGGAAATTCTCTTTCCCCGAATCGGAATTTTCCTCGTCGGAGCGTTTCCCGATCTGGGTGTGGCCGTTTTCTACTAAAGTTTTGAGCTTCTCGTCGTTACAGAGTAACCCGTTGAGCTCCTTTTGCACGGCGGTGTATAGATTGTTGAGTAGATAATCCGGCGCGTCCGGACCGCTGAATCCATCGTAGATTCCGACAAAAACCCATCCGTTTTCTTCGGACACGACAACGTGTACGCGATCTTCCCCTGCTTTCCCCTGAGCCCATTGAACATCCAAAACAGAGCCAACGCTCTGTTCCTCTTCTCCTTCTCCTCCCTCTTCTTTAGCTTCTCGCTTGTCATCAAGTTTCTGTTGAATAATCTCAGGTTGATGTTGATGATGATGATGATCGGAGTCTGGTGATACAGAACCGTTGATCGGTTCGATCACACTCTTCTTCGAGTTAGGTTTATTGTTTGAGATTAGATTAGTGAACAAAGCTTTGAATGTGAGAAAGTTCTTCTTTTTCTTCGGTTTAGGTTTTTCTTTTCTTCTGAACTTCTTCTTCGACGGTTTCTCTTTCTCCGTCTTCTTCATCGACTCCATCGGACCCGAATACAACCCGCTTTCGATCGGACCCGATAAGAACCGCCTCTCAAACGTAGCTGACTCGCGACCCGAGTCGTTAACAATCGGACCTGACTGACACGTGGAGCCACGCGGCACAGGCTGGAGAGGGAGAGACGCGAAGTTACCAGAGCTCTCGAATACGGAGCTGTGCAGACAATCGGAGTCCGACGAAGTAGAACCGGAGAGAGCCGTCGACGGATTCGCGCTGACCGAAGCGCCGGAGATCGATCGGAAAGTGGTTTCTGGGAGAGGTTCTGATCGGAGAGGAATCTCCGGCGAAGAAGAAGGTAAGGATACTACTCCCGTGACATCAGGACGTATGTAGCAGAAGGAATGGCCAAGTCCATCGTGGACGAGAGAGACGTCGTATCGGCGGGAGATTTCTCCGGCGACGGTTCCGGTACAGCAGGAGGGGCTCAGAGTGGTGACTCCATTTCCCATTTGGATACGAGAATGAAGCGACGATGGTCGGCGAAGTTCATAAAAGGGAAGGAGATCGATCGTGTGTTAATGAGTTTGGTTATTTTATGGTGAAGAAGAAGAGACAGAGTCACCACATATGTGTTTGAGAGAGAGAGAGTTGACATTTTGAAAGTTTATTCTTTATGAATTGGTTTATTCTAATGTTAGTGGAATTAGTAAAATTATACTATTTCCACATTATGCTTTCTACTACTATTTTAATACTAACTAGATTTTGAACCCGCACATCCGTGCGGGTATGTTTTTCATTTTATAAAAATATAACAAAACCTTTCAAATATATATGATTTACATTCTATTGTTATATATTGTATAATTTTATAATCTTATAATTTAATTATTTTTATATAATATATTGTTGTAAGTTTTATAATAAAAAAATATTCATATTTTTTTTATATATATTTGTTGTGAGTTACAAAAATATAAGTTAACATTTTTGTATAAAAATATTATATGATTTAAAAAATTTAATATGTTTTAAAATTGAGTGATATTTATTTATTTATTTGAATAAAACAAATTTTAAAAAATAAAATATTTTCCTTTACCAATTTAATATATTTTATATTCATTTCACATAGCATTTTATTTTAATATAGTGTAGAATATAAGTAAATTATGAAATATAACAATTTTTATTTTACTTAAAATTAATATCAATATTTATATATATATTAATCACGAAATTAAATAATGCATATTTTAAAAAAAAATATTTAAACTTCTTAGTAAGATCTTGTTAGATATTTTCTCAACAAATTTATTACTAATATCTTATTATTATTAAAATATTGCTCCAATTATATATATTTGATTGATTAATATAAATACTTAAATATGTCATATTAATAAGATGGTCCAACATAACTTTTTGTAGTAGATATAAATGGTACTTCTCTTTTAATAGAGAAGATGATAATAACAATCTATAGTATATATAAAAAATAGGGTATAACTTTGCCCCTGTCAACATTCTGAACTAGTGATGCACTATACAATTTGGCTCAGCTAAACCAAATATAAAATGTAATTTATAAAAATACACTATAATTTTATTTAAAAAAACAGGTTGTTTTTTGTTGGAAGGAGTTGACTTTTGAAGAAGATAAAGGAGAGGCATTAAAGTATATATAAATTGGCAAAAAGTCAAATGATTTAATTAAGTGTTCCAAGTCTTGAAGATTCCAATTAATTAAGTTACCATTTTGAAAATGCCCATTTAAAACTATTACGTTACGGTGGGAATGGTTAAAAAGGTAAAAAAGAGATACTTACTTAATAGCACAAGAACATAAAACATACATGAATCATGCAAATGAGATAGTATATAAATGACGAATATTAGTATTAGTTTCAGTCTCTGCATGAAGATGTTGTATGCAGAAAAACAAGGTGAAGGTCATGCAAAATGTTATTCTAGGATATTTGAATTTTGAGTCAAATATGTAAAGAAAGAGAAGTGAATAATTGGTGAGATTCGACTTGTCCTTTCAGCTTCTGAAACTAGAAACAAATGCTTCTCAAAACCAGTTAGTTAGTTGCTAGTTTAAAAGGCCTTAAACCATAATGGGCTAAAAATAATAATGGGCCACATAGTAATATCTAATGGGGGAGGTGGTTATATCTTTCTTAAATATTTTTAAGAAAACATAAAAAAATTCGCGAGACGGCCAATGTTCATGTTACGCACGCTTCCGCTCTTTCGCTGTCGATTTCGTTTTCTCTCAAATCCCGCCACGACCGAGAGGAAGCTTCACGCTAATCCTGTAGAAATTCGTATCCAACAGGTAATGCAATTAACTCCGTTTCTGCGCCGATGTGATTATTATTTTATATCTACTTTTGTAAAATCAGATATTGGTTTGTTTGTGTTTTTGCTTGAATGTCAATCTGATCGTATTTAGAAGACACTAAATCTATTTGCCTCTGATTCTAGGAGGGAGTTTGTAACTACGGTTACTGTTGATAAATTAGTGTCTTACAATTTGAAATTTAGGCATATGAGAGACTCCATAAAAACATTTCACACTTTAATTTGGCTGATGTATTGTAGAGAGACGTTGACACAAACTTAAAAAAAAATAAGGCCCATATACCTTTGGCATATAGTATGTAATGTGGCTTATGTTTGGAACTTGTTTTCAGGTTTGATAAAAAAGAAAGAAATTGTGGCTGGAGGATTGAGAGTTTAAATAAAGATAACAGTTAGCTGCAAACAATCAGAATGGGGAGGAAGTTGCGTGAGAAAGTGACATGCTCCCCAATGCAAAACAACCATCGTCCTGGGGGATTCATGTGGGGACTCTTTGACATTCTTAAGCACAACCATTGGCGTTACATCAAGAAACGTCTCCCTCACAAACGACCCCACCTTCCTGGTGGTGCTACACGAACTAGTGCTTCTACTCGTAAGACAAACTTCTTATTACTCTCTCTTATTCCTTTTTTTTTAATTTTTATAACCTCATGAGCATTATTAATCTACCATGGTTTGTAATATTTTCCCATGTTTTTGTTTCCAGATTGTATTCCCGTATGTAAGAGCAACTTGGAAGATGAAACTAATGTAGTAAGTCGATACAAACTTTGATATCCATTAGCATAAAAAAGTTACTTGAATCATAAAAGGCAGCTTCATTGCTTCAGGTCTCGGGGCAAAGACCAAAGAAGAAGCCTAGCTCTGCTGTAAAGTCTAACAACTCAGGGGAGAAGCCAAAGAAGCAGCATAATAATACAGAGGACAAGTCCAAGAATCTCAATTCAGAAGAGAAGCGGAGAAAAACACATTCAGAGATCAAAAGGTCTGTGAAGGCTCTGATTAAGGCACTTGTAATGGACGACAAGTCTTCTAAGAAGAATGGTCGTCACCACAGAAGCTCTACTTATCCTGTCCAATCAAACCCTAAAGAGAAGGAGTCATCACTGAGTGAGTTGGAATCTTCTGATAAGAACTCCTTAAACGGTGATGAACGTAACCGTGTCTTTGACAAGACCATTGGCATTTCACCCGCTATTGGTTCGTTGAACCCTCTTTATCTCATGTCCGAGGAATCAAGCAACAGTGACAGCGAAGAGTTTAGGTTTGAGAACACTTTAGTTGATGATACTGACGAAAATAAATCAGATTTTGATGAAAGTGATTCCAAGAAGAAGAAGAAGAAGGATGAGGAGGACGCTTGGCTTGATCCAAAGTTGAGACATGAGGATGATGATACATCGCCTAGACGTGCAAAGTCATGTCTTGATGCTCTGAATCTGATACACATGAATAGAAACTTCTTGTTAAAAGTTCTGCAGGATCCAGGTTCTCCTCTAGCCAGGCATTTTCAGAGCCAACAATCTTTTAGCTCCAAAACAATGACTAAAGCCGGATCATTCCCTACTACTCATGGTAGCAATAGAGAAGATCATATTAATGAGTTCGAGAATAAGTCAATGACGTCTCCTTCCATTGCTGCACAACACAGAGCAGACGGGGTTCAGACGTTTAATGAAGCAATGGAAAAAGCTTCTGCTGAAGCAATGGAAAAAGCTTCTGCTGATGAAGAGGAGAAGTTATCTGGTTCTGGTCACACGAGGAAGAGAGGAAAGAACCACCAAGTGGTGATCAAACGTTTCAAGGATCTAAGACAAAAGATAAAGCATGTGATTAACGAGAACAAGAACGAGACACACCGTATCACTATGGATGCTGTCTTAGACAAAGTGCCTCGAAAGTATGGATTCTCGAAAGATTTGAGGCACGACGTTTTGAAAGGAAGTTCTTCTGCCAACAAAGCAGAAGGCGCAAAACCGAAGCAAATAAGAAGAACATCGTCTCTGTGTGGTTCGGTTGATAGATATCTTCAGCTGTATGAAAAGAGCTTCCAAAAGTGCAACAGCACTACTTCAGAGAAGTCTGAGGAACAGGCGTTGTCTTGTAAGATAGTTCCTAAAATCTTGGGAAGGATTCTTTCATCACCTGAAATGAAATCTCCTTATGCTTTGAAGATTGATGACCTTCCTGCCCAACTTACAACGTTCAGTAGATCAATGGAACAAGAACAAGATGGTCTGGAAGACATTTCAGAGATCTCAGAAGATCACTCTGAACACGAAATGCCTGAGACTACTCAGGATCCTTCTTCTGACGCAGAACAAGACAGTCCTACCTTTGATGAGATGACTTGTGAATCTCAAATGCCACAAGGTAATATTCAACATTCAGCCACTTTCTCCATATTGAGAGTGAGTTTGGATAATGACAAACTTGTTTTGTATTATTGCAGATTCGGAGATACAACAGGATGCAGATACAGAGAGTGTCTTAAGAAGCAAACAAGTAACAGGAGCAGAGATAGAGGAAGTAGTCCAGGTGGAAGCACAAGATAAAGGGAAGTTTAACTATGTAAGAGACATTCTCGAGATCTCTGGATTCAATGCACCTGAATCTCTCTCAGTGTGGCAATCAGAATACCAGCCGCTAGACCCATTAGTCTACGAAGAAGTGACAACAACAACCACAAGAGGATGTATGATACAAGATCCAGAATGTTCAAGCAACGAAGAAGAAGGAGGTGGTAACTGCAACCACTTGCTTCTCTTTGATCTAATAAACGAGGTACTAATCGAAATCTACGAAAGATGTTACCATTATTGTCCCAAACCGTTATCACCCCTATGTAGAGTCCATCCAATGGCAGTGGGATATAGTGTTTTGAAGGAGGTTTGGATTAGAATAAACTGTTACTTGCGTTACAAGCCACTCAACGAGGAATCTTTTTATAAGATTATGAGTAGGGATTTTAGGAGAGAGGATGGGTGGATGGATTTGCAGTTTGAGAGTGAATGTGTTGGGATTGAAGTTGAGGATATGATCTTCGAGGAGCTTCTGGAAGAATTGCTTCTTGGATAGGAGGGTTAAGAGGGCAATCGGATCATTTATCCGTTTTTGGGTTGTTGTTGTTGTTTTGCTTGGAGCTTAAGGTACATAAAGAAAAAACTTTGTTATTTTTTGAAAGTTTGTGTGTAAGATAGAGTTGAAAGGACATCACAGTATCTAAAGCAGAATTAAAAATGAGTGAAATTCCAACAGGCTCGATTATTAGATATCTACCCCTTCACTTTTGGTGATTTCTCTTCTAGCTCTGCTTCTCTTTCTATAGCCTTCGTTCTAGATTATTATACTTGCAGAAAAAGTAAGTAAGAGACGCTTGTGTTATACTGTCTGTGGGGGTATAGGGCCTTGCATAGACATTATTGATACGTCAGCTGCAGCTAGCTCTGTGAGAAGCGAGCGGTGTAAATAATTGTAAGGTGTTTTTGGAGAAAGAAGCGAGGTTTTATGTACGACCACCTTGTGTAACAAGGTAACTCTGGTGCTTGTGTAACAAGCTGTATTTTTGCCAAATTGGTAAAATTGTAAAATTGATTAATTAAGATCTTTCCTTTTTTGTTTTTGTTATTTATTTTAAAAATGGAAGATTACCAATTCCTATATTAATTTTTTTTTGGAAGTGTGTGTGTATAAAAGGGTTTATAAACTTTACGTATATGGTGAAAAGTTAAAGGAACCACCTTTTTAATTTGGTCTGAGAATATCATCATCAACTAAATTAATGGCGGCGACTAGTAGTACATGCAAGCACTGGGTTGTTCAGGGTCAAATCTGTTGTCGATGCAAATCTCGAGTGGATACGAAGGATTTGGCTAGGATGGAGGAGATATCACCTTTTCCTTTTCCTGATCCTGATTGTACTCATCCAGTGTTTAGCCGCGGTCAATGTATCTATTGTGGATATTTCTATGATATTTATGACTACCCCCCAACTTGTTTCAATTACCTCAATTTTCAGTTGATGCCCGAGTTCAAGAATTCTACTAAGAAACACAAGTTAAGGATCGGGTTGGGACAAAAGAAGCTTCACCTGGTTCTTGGCTTAGAACACATCCTCATCCACGCCATCAAACTCTCCAAGATTTCTCATGATGATTCAAGATTACTATTAACAAGAGATGACATATTTCTTCTTCCTAACCACAACTTACTGGTCAAGTTGCAACCCTTTGTCCGTGACTTCTTGTCGGAAGCAAAAGAGTTTTTCACCATGCACGTTTTCACAAACTATGGCCGTGACCGTGCCAAAAAAGTGGTCAGTTTGCTCGATCCGCATATGGTGTATTTTGGGAGTCGAATCATTACAGGTAGTGACACTTACTACTATGGTGGTTTGAAGTCATTGGAACTTGTTTTGGCGGAACCACGTGGGGTGATTGTCTTGGACTATGGACCTGGATTGTGGAGGAGGCAAGACTTACCTAACCTGGTCGTTCTATCTCCCAAGTACGAGTACGAGTACTTCGTCAAAGCAAACAGAAGCAACAAGAAGGTCGTAGACGGGGGGTTCCTAGCAAAAGCTCTTAATTTCTTCAAGAGTAATAAAGTTTTATTGGAGGGAAATAGAGAGAAGTCTTCTGATGAACGTGAAGATATGACTGTCTTATTGCCAAACCTTAAGGCCCTTCATGAATTGTTCTTTAATGGAGGATATTACGACGTAACTCATGTCCTGCCCCATGTCTATCATGAAACCAAGGAATAATTTTTAAAAAGATATGAGTTATTTTTTTTATTCTATTAATTGATTTGTTGGTTTAGAGTTTTTTTTTGTTTTTTTTAATGATGATGTTTATTATGGAGGATATCTGTTAAATTGTTGGAAGAAACAATATACATGAGAACCAATAAATCTATAACATACGTGTAAAATTCAGCTCATTTAATAAAATATATTTTTCAACATATGTTTTAATAATTCACTTGCATAATCCATAAACCGCCCGTCTAGCTCAGTTGGTAGAGCGCAAGGCTCTTAACCTTGTGGTCGTGGGTTCGAGCCCCACGGTGGTGGGCGACAGTCTTTTTACCTGTTTTGGAATTGTTCTAGTATTTCAATAAGAAAATCAACAACTTGCAATTTCCTTTTCTGATCTCTTTCTTCGTTTGAGAAAACAAACTTATTACCTCGGAAGAATCGCAGCTCTATTTTCATCTTATAGTTTAAAGTTTTTTGGACGAAACACCATACACAACTAAGAGCATGTTTATCCATCAGCACTTTTCACATTTTCTCTCTTCATATTAAGTACCCCCTTCCTCCTAAGCACTTCTCTAAGTATCCTTGGATAAACATGCTCTAATGATCTTTCAAGTTAAAAACTCTTGCCCAACGCAAACCCCTACTATTACAATAATCATGTTTTCGTTTTCTTCACATACGTAATCCTTTTTTTTTTTTTTTTTTCATACAAACACTCTTCTAACATATTTAGTAGGAATTAAACTTATCCGACACTGCAATATTCCCATATGGATGGTTCTCCTAACTCTTCCATTATTTTTTTTCTGATCTATAGATTGATTTTAGAGAAAGTGTTCAAAAAGGAGAGATTCGATTCGAATACGCACATAGAATGGACAAGGTTGATAATGGACCCACCTCAAGTTGGCTCATGCATCCTTTCTTTTGTGTACTTTCAATTCAATTTAAACAAAAGTCTATGAAGCCAGACTTTGAAACATTACTTTCCTCTGACAACATCTTGTTTTATAGACTCTTTTCTTAATCAAACGGGATCAACTAAAGTGATACTTATCTATTGAAACCAGTACCCAAAAATCTACAATATCTTTTTCAAGCATCACCTGAACAAGACAAAACCATTACACTATAACGTTCAAATATGGATATGCCACATCAAAGAGAAAATTATTGAGATTCTGAACTTTATTTACTCTTTATATTTTGAAATTAAGAACTATTGTTATGGAAACAGTCAATAGAAAACACTAAGAATTGTGTTTGAAAAATTTGTGTAAACAACAAATTTAGATCCCACTTTCTAACTTATAAAGATGAAAACCTACAAAACAATTTAGTCTAAAAAAAAAAATCAACAAAACAAATTAAGGGACATCACAAAAAATAATATATATAATTTAATTTTAAACATTTAAATATATTATTTATTTTGTAGATATTTTCCTAATTACTTAATTCTTTTTTGGTCTTGATACTGATTATTGTACTAATAAGAAATTGATTCTTTTCCCCCAAGCTTTCAAGATGATAAATTTTTCTTTTGAAAGTTGTAAGAGTGTTTAAGATTCTGACAGCTGGACGGCTGATACATTTTCATTTAGCTTATAAATATGGAGACTCCTCTCTAGTTTAAATTCATTCACTCGTTTCAAAGCTTCTTAAAACAAGTTAAATAACTTCTATCTGTGATTCTTCAAATTCTCTAGAGAAAATGTCTTGCTGTGGAGGAAACTGTGGTTGCGGATCTGGCTGCAAGTGCGTTGGATGCGGAGGGTAAAGTCTACTCTCTCATCACCTTTTTTTCTTAAGTTTTTCTTTTGTCTCGGGAAAACCTGCTTCATGCAGCGGTCTCTGTGTCAAATTTTGACTCTAATGGTGTTTTGATATGAGCTTTGGAGATAAAACTTTATTAACTTTGACGTCTTGTCTTTGTGCAGTTGCAAAATGTACCCAGACTTGAGCTTCTCCGGCGAGACTACCACCACTGAGACTCTTGTCCTAGGCGTTGCTCCAGCCATGAATTCTCAGTTCGAGGCTTCCGGCGAGACTTTCTTTGCCGAGAACGATGCCTGCAAATGCGGATCTGACTGCAAATGCAACCCTTGCACCTGCAAATGAAGAACAATAAACCCTAAGAGTCTCCAGCAACCCTAATGTTATGTTAGGTCTGGTTAAGTGTAATAATAATGGTTCATTTCTCCGGTTGTTTTTCCGGTGACGTGAGTCTTGTGCTTCTCTGTCTTCTTCCCTCTGTGTGTTTTATGGTTTGGTCATAAGATATCTCTGTATGTTTTATCTGTGTGACTATATATAAGCCTAAAGTATTATGGGTCTTCGAGTAATCAGAAATTTAAAGGTTTTGCTTCTTTCTTGCTAAGACACAACTAATATCATCAAACCATGTCTCTGGTTATAAAGCTAAAGTAGACAAGAACAGACAATAATAATCTCAACACAATACACAAACTTCTTGATAAAGAAAGCAACGTGTTTTGTTTTGCTAAAAGACAACAGGGCTTATTTCTCTGAGTTCAACAATGTACTCAGCCATCTTCTCTCCAATTCCCTGCGAGAAAGATATGAAACAGAGCCTGTTAAACCAATATTTGACTACGGAAGCAGTGATTTTTTTCTTTTTTGATTCATGTGGCTCTTTACCTTTTAACTCCATTAGCTCTTCTCTGTGTGTTTGAAACATAGTTTAATGGTGAAAGTTAGTTCTACGTGAAATCCTAAGCGTTATGAAGAGAATCTAAGGCAGGCAGACAGATGTATTTGGACACTATTATTACCTGTTGGCTGTATTCAAGAAGTGAATATATTCATTTATGAGGGAAGTCTGTGAAAAAGTAAAGAAAGTTGCAAAAAAGGATCAGATCTCTAATTCTTGTCAACATAATAATAGCACATACTTTTTGAAATTTTGATTCGTAGCTTTAAATTAGTGCTCCAGGCACTGAACTTCTGGCAAGTGCCACTCATCTGCATATCGTCAGTGTTTACAGCAAGAAAAGGTGTTTTTGGAGTCATTGGTTTGAGCATCGGAGATGACCCATCTGCTGAGTTTGGTTTTGCATTTGAGTCGAGATAGAGCTTCTCGAAGAGGACTGAGTTCAGTATTGTTCTTCTCGACATCCAATGGGTTATCTAAAATCAACGCAAAAAAAAAAAAAGAGAGGATAAAAAGAAAACGTCCAGAAATATTTATCAACAATTAGCTCAAGGCAGTAAACCTCTCAAGCTTGCCTCTGAGACCAACGGACTCTCGTCGCTAAATATATATGTCTCTCTCATCTTCCTTGGTTGGAGAAGCTAAGTGCAGATTCTGTACTGGTTCCTAGATTATTCAAAGAACTCAAGTACTTCATATTCAGTCGTATAAAATACAAGGAGAGCACCAGGTTATGTCGATTTTTTTTCACAAGAGTATCAGCACACTGCATACCCATAAATGTGAAGCATCACCACCAAATAAGTTCCTGGCGCTCACATTCCTGTGTACGAGTACATTATGAGGGAAGAGGTTCTGTCATGTAAAACGAATAAGAACTAAACCATTCAAAGGGGTACCTCTGTTCTTTGCCAGTAGGTTTAGCACTTTCTGCAATAATAGCTGATCTATGAACTACGAGTTTTTTGACCGAGCTTTGAGATATTGAACGTATAGCCATCATCTTACGCGAGCTTTTCGTCTTGCCTTTTGGTTCCAGCCAAGCTTGCAGTTTTGCTTCCATGTCTACTTTAACCTTAGGGGTCTCAACCTTTGGATTCAGATACACAACGTTTGAAATGTGCCTTGACCTTGCAGCCAGGCTAACAGTGCGAAGAGATTCCTGGTATTCTCCAGGATTCTTTTTTTTTTTTTGAACACAACTTACTTTTCATTACTTCTCAACTTAAAAGATTACAACAGTTTGAGGGAATTATCCATCCTCCTTGTTTGAAAAGATAAACTACAGCATTGTAAAACAAACTGGATAATTCTTCGTGAGAAGATGACAGCGAATTCAAGACGAAGCTTGGATGCGTCGATGTAGCCATTACAACAGAGTCGAATAGCAGAGAAATAGTCACATATAGTGACGTTGAAAACCAGCCTTCACTAGTGAAGAAGCTGAAACCAAAACTTGATACCAAGTTCGGAAAACCATCTCCTTTCATAGAAAAGAGGTAGGGTGGCGAAATCCATTCCTCGATTGAAGAGGATGGATCAAGCATCAATAGACACAAGGAACAACACGGTGAACCCACCGTTAAATTACTCTTCAGACAAGATAAGGATCTACATGACATTGTTGATCAAATGGGTTTTCTTGGATCAGAACCTTAGTCTACACACTGTCTAAGTTGTGGTAAATTTTACAACCTTCATTTACTTGTTGAAAGAATTGTTAGTTTTGTTGTTTCTTATTCTATGTATTGAAGTGTTGTCGTTTGTACATTATCTTCTGATGAATAAGAACACTTTGATTTGTTGTGTATCAAAACATCTGCTTATCCAATAAGAATTTAATAAAATGCAGGAATGGAGTAAGTGGATGGTGGAGTTAGTTGCAGTAACCTCATTATCGACCGCATCAAAATTTAACGAAGTTTCTTCCCCTTCACTTGAAGATTTACAAGCCAACAAAAGATTATACAAGATATTTCTATGTCATTTATACAAAAAAAAAAACTAAAAAAAAAGAGAAACCAAAGTTGTGAAGAAGAATCACTCCTGTCAAAAATCTGTCGCGTTATCACCTCCGGCTAGTTGTAGTCCTCTGTACGCATGGATCCCTTTCTCTTGTTCTGAAACCAACTCCGCATGCTATCTTTCTCTTAGACATCTGAGTCGGTTTCTAACTCCGGCATATTATCTTTCTTCGAGATATCTGAGTTGCTTATCAACTTTGGCATGCTATCTTTCTCCGAGACATCTGGGTCGTTTATCAAAACGCTCTTCATTCAGGTATAGTCATTTGTCCAACAAGAGAGATTGCAATTCAGGTCTATATTATTGTCAATACTACACTTTTATGTTGCTGACAGTGGTACTCAAACATCATTACTATTTCAGTCATGTGGAGTGGCGAAAGTGTTAGAAGGAAGAAGTAAGAAGCATTGGTTGAGAGTGATCATGTCGCTTGTGTAAAGGTTGTGCAAAAAAAATTGACAGTGAATTTTGTAAGAACGATTATAAATTGTTAAAACTATTAAAGTTCTACGATATTATGGATTTACAAAAAAAAATTGAACTTACGGATTTCGAATAAAGAAATATCGATAATCATAAAATTATATGATTAAAAATTACATTTAATACATAAAAATATTAAAATATATTACATATTTATGTTAAATCATTTAATTTAATCAATCTATACAAAACATATAAAAGTGATTGTTCAAATTCGTTTGCCATATTTGTGTCAAACAAAAAAAAAATCATTTAACATACAATAATCTATCTATCTATTTGTATATATATAAGAGAGTTTTCCCCTTCTAACATCTGCCACCTCATCAAATTGCTCTCTCACAGCCTGACACGTATCCTTCTTTGTTGAAACACTGTGTTTGGTTATGATGTTTGTTTGGTTCTGATGCTTATTTGGTCGGTTGGGCTTATCTCAATATTATGGGACTTAAGTTATCCACGTTTCCAAGAAGCCTGTGATTTACTAAATACGCTTATAAAAAAATTGTCGTCTAAGGATTAGGGTTCTTGACAGACTTTGGGACAAACCGACATGACATAATCTCTTCGTTGAGTTTTGATGGCTACGTATGATCTTTTTCATCAACCAAAACGCTCTGATTACAAATTCATCATCAAAAACGATATCGTCATCAATGTGAGTTTCTTTAGTGTGAGGCTGTGTATCATGGACTATAAAAAGGTAACATTGCTTCTTTTGAATCCATATTCTCAATCTTTCTTAGTAAACTTAAGGCCACAAAACAAACTAGATTTGGTTTTACAAGACAAGTTGAAATAGGAGTTTCGCCCAAAAAGGAAACGAACTCTAATCCACGTTTTTACAAGTTCTTTCTTGCTGGGGTATGAAACGTAAACCCGTCCGATCATCTTTCCCTCAATTCATTCGACAGAGTTATTAACAATTCATGGTATGCTATCAATTCATCCACTTTATATGGCATCAAGGTTCTCAAGAGAAATTATCTAGCTTTTCCCACGGAGAAAAACATCTCAAAAGAAACAGAGGAGTCAGAGAGCATCATTAATAACATTTCCATTGGAATCTATACATCATTTTTTAAGATTTCGATACATTCGAAGTAAACAAGATAAGATAAAAATTACAGATTGTTTACATTGATTTTCGTTGCTTCTTATAGATTTTCTATCCTGTTACAACAAATCATAGCCAAGTAAATTGATACTTGTTTTGGGTAAAAGCAAGAAGTTTGTTTAATCATATACCATAAAATATATGTTTATCTAGCTTCAACGGGAGAGGATTAGAGAGAAAAGTCAATAAGTCAACGATGAACAGAGCAAGTTGAGGAAGAAAGTCCAACAGAGCGTACCCAAAAAACGTATAAACAGAAAGAGAGAGGAAAGAGCATTTAAAGAAGTCATCTCTGACACTTCTTTTGCATTTTAAAACAATCATTATTTTACCCAAATAATAAAGACTTTTCTTGAGAGAATAAATGTTTGGAGTTTTCATTATTAGCCAGCCAGCCAGCAGCCCAATCTTTTTTTCCTCCTTCTTTCTTCTGTGGGAAATCTTCGTTTTCCGCTCCATTTCGTACGCTTTCTAGGACTGTGTATACACAGATTAAGCTCTCTTTTTGTCTGCTTATAATCAAAGAATAGCTAGAGCTGAGTCAGTGAGTGATTGGTTCTTTGGTGTGTGTTAAAATGGGAGCTTGTTTCAGTAATCAGATCAAAACAGATATTGCTTCCAGTACATGTGAGTCTTTCCTCACTTTCTTTCTTGCTTTATTCTTATAAATTTATTATTAAAATTTGAAGAAGGTGGCAGAAAATTTCATCGAGACTCTGTAATTCTTTCACCCTTTGCTTTTGTCCTGAACTAGAAACCTTATAGAATCACACTTTGTTTCCTTTATTAGTAAGTTAAGAGTTGAATCTATAGAGGTAACTGTGTCGGTCAGCTAAGTACAAATGACTGCTTCCTTTATTAGTTCTAGATATGTTTTAACCCACTTCAAAACCAGATTTGTCAACACTTCTTTAGAAAATCTCAATCTAAACTCATTGGGTTTTGTGAAATTGCTTGTAGGGCTAAGTTCGAAGTTCTTGAGTAGGGAAGAGAGCAAAGGCTCTTCTTCGGCTACTTCCTTCAATCATACGCCTCGAACAGAAGGGGAGATTTTGAAAAATGCTAATCTGAAGAGCTTTACCCACAGTGAACTAAAGTCTGCAACGAGGAGCTTCAGGCCTGATAGTATGGTTGGTGAAGGTGGCTTTGGTTGCGTTTTCAAAGGATGGATTGATGAGACTTCCTTGACTCCTTCCAAACCTGGGACCGGGATTGTCATTGCAGTGAAAAAGCTTAACCAAGAAGGCCTTCAAGGTCATCGAGAATGGCTGGTTTGTCACTTTTCATCTCAAGTTATTTCACAAGAGTCCATTTCAAGTTCTTAAACCTTTCTTTCTTTGTTTTTTTTTTTGCAACTATGAAAAATACAGGCTGAGATCAATTATTTAGGTCAGCTGGATCATCCTAACCTTGTGAAACTAATTGGATACTGCTTAGAGGAAGAGCAGAGGCTTCTTGTTTACGAGTTCATGCCTCGCGGTAGTCTTGAGAATCACTTATTCAGAAGTAAGTTTAGCTATCTTCAAAGAGTAAGAAGCTCATAACAAAGAATCTGATCATCTTTTTATCTGAACTCTCAAAAAAAACAGGAGGAACATTCTTTCAGCCAATTTCATGGAACGCACGGGTTCGAATGGCTCTTGGTGCAGCTAGAGGACTCGCTTTTCTTCACAATGCTCAACCCCAAGTTATATACCGAGACTTCAAAGCATCCAACATCTTGCTAGATTCAGTAAGATATACATATGATTGATTGATTGATACTTTGTGTAGCTTTGGATCTTTACTGTCTCTCTCTGTGTCATTTGCAGAACTACAATGCAAAGCTTTCGGATTTCGGTTTGGCTAGAGATGGTCCAGAGGGTGACAATAGCCATGTCTCTACCAGAGTCGTGGGAACTCAAGGATACGCTGCTCCTGAATATCTTGCTACCGGTATGTGCATTTTCCCATAATAGCTGTTATCAATGCAAAGAAAGAACTCCAAATACTGATGTTCATTCTTGTCAAATTTTGAAAGGTCATTTATCGGCAAAGAGTGATGTGTACAGCTTCGGGGTTGTGTTAATGGAGCTGTTATCAGGAAGACGAGCAATAGACAAGAACCAACCAGTAGGAGAACACAATCTAGTGGACTGGGCAAAACCTTACTTAGTAAACAAAAGAAGGCTTCTCCGTGTGATGGATCCTCGTCTCCAAGGTCAATACTCGCTAACCAAGGCTTTAAAAATAGCACTTCTTGCACTCGATTGCATATCCATTGATTCCAAGGTTAGACCGAGCATGAACGATGTTGTCAAGACACTCGAAGAACTCCATGTTCCAAAGGAAACACCAAAAGAGCAGGAGAATCTTCTTCAACCCGGCAATGAGAACAACAATAACAAGTCTCCAAAAGCTGTGAATTATCCTAGGCCTTCAATTATGTAACAATCCAC